CATTCGAGCGCGAAGTTTTTCAAGGTACACACACCTACCCCTTGAGAGTATATATCCATCAGAAACCCAAAATAAAAAAAAAACTGGACATGTGTGGTTCTTTAATGTGCCCGTTTATGTATTGAAGATAGAGGAATTTTATTTACTAATTCGACATTAGATGAGGAGGAGAGAAAACAAACCTCTTTCACATCAGTGATGACTGTTTTGATGGTGTGTTTGACTTTCGGTTGACTAGATAGCTGGTTTGAAATTGGCAAAACCACGTAAGTGGGCTGTGAGCCCAGTCCGCAGCCACAGGGAGATGGGGGCTGTGTGGGGGCCGGTGGGTGGGGGTGAGGTTGCGGGAAGGAGTAGTCATGATCCGGGTGTGAATGGCCCACGGGAGGATAGAGCCCCCGGAAAACATTGAAGGAACCGCTAGCTCCCAGATCTGGAGGACTTTTTCGGTTCAACAACCTCTGAGTCGCATTTGTAGCCGCGTCAAGTTTTGAAGGAACCAGTATGGCTCTTCCTGAAACAATTTTATCATGACAGTGAAATACAACTGAGTAGAGTCTCTTTATACTGAGAATAAAAACATTACGATTCCATCTTTGATTGGTCCCCGTATTTTAGGCCTCCGCAGTGTCACAAACGGGAATGAAGATTATTACATTTTCACAAGTGTCAAAGACTTTAAAACGGGATGAACCGGGGAATTAAGGGCACGGCAAGGAACAAACGGAATGAGAGAGGGAACGGAAACAGGAATTCGGAAATGAGTTGATCAAAGATTATAAAAAATCTTTCAATCTGTGTAAGTAATCCTTATTCCCGTTTATGACATCCATGAGCTGCGTTGTCTCAACTCTCTAAAGAAACTCTACAGGTGAGGGACTTATACAATTAGAGGACAAGGCGCATGAGTGCAGTTTTGAAACAAACGAGATAATACATACTTTAAGTGAAATAATTATAGTCTTAGGGCAAATTCTGTGAAAAATGCTAGGAATTCCAATTTGTAAGCATCTAAAAGTCAGTTTGAACTTTCTATCCGCCATTAGGATCCATATAATTTCGAAACTTCAACCACGAGTATCTCGAAATAGCAAAAACTGCACGTATGCGTCTTGTTCTCCAGGCCCCTCGACTATACGTTCAAAATCTCACATTTGGTGCAAAACATTTCTGACAAGGGCAGAGTGTCTATACTAATCTATTATGTGCGGAAAATTTGAATTTTTCAAAAATGGCCCGGGAGTAAGAACGGAATTTAGACGAGGGTCCAAAAATATTTTGACTCTGAGGCCGTTCATAAATTAAATAACGCTCTAGGGGGAAGGGGGGGGTCAAGGAAAGCGTTACGCTATTTCGTTTATACATGATATATAGGATAGGGACCTGCGTTACAGGGGGGGGGGAGAGGGGGGCTCAAAAATGTCGAAAAATTAATTATTGGAGCGCCTTCCGCCCTCCCAGATGACTAGACGTTTTAACATGATTTCTTTCGCATCACTATGATACTTTAAAACCGACAAGATATTAAGCAATACCTCTTATATCTAACAATTTCATAAGCAAACGTAAGTTACAAAGATTGCGAAGTGAACTCAGATCCCTTTTCATAATTTTTGCTTTGACCCAAATCAAGGTTTTCCTCATTTCAGACAACATGAAACAAGGTTAAGGTTACGCTCTACAGCGATGATGAGTCATTCATTTTACCTTGGTACGATTAAATATAAAAAGTGACGTTCGTTAAGCTATGATGCGCGTTCCGAACACGACAGTAAATTTAGTTTATTTACTTACTATCGTGTTTCGCAATGACAACTGATCTGTGTTGATTTACAAAAAGTTCTTCATAATGTCGCATGGACTCTAATGCACATATACGCATGCAGAATGTTTTTGTATGTGTCCTAATTTCTTTGATAAATACAGCCTTAAAAGGAAAAACAACGCAAATACAAACTCTCAGAACTGCACGTAGATCATACTGCTCTGTGTGGACATCCTAGTGTTATCATTCTGTCAAGAAAAAAAAATCAAGCCTCTGTATTTATTAATGAACTAGGGGGCTATGCCCCCTGGCCGCTACGCGGCCCAACCCCCATAGGACGCTTCGCGCTCTCTTAGGCCCGCGTCGACAAAAGAACGACCGAAGAAAATGAAAAGATTTTCATACCCGAATCTCATTTATCCAATCTCCCTCTGGCCGGGAGCAATTGGACCAATAAGAATAGAGTGAAAAAATTGGCATTTATTTCAAACTTCACACCAAGACTTACACGAAACGGAACGGAGCGTTTCGTCGCTTTCGTGACCAAGAATTTTGCGGGAAACAGGAGAGACTCTACGCTGACAAACTGAAAAATTTTTGAGTGCTCTGAATGGACGAAACTCGCACGCCAGTGGTGAGGCGTGATGATCGATTATCGATATTTCCCCACTTGAAGCTATGGTAAAGAATCGATCATGAAGGTGTTCATAGCGAACACTATGTTTATCAATCCTCTTCCGTAGGTTTAAATGACAGATCAATCGATATATCACAAAGTACGCCACGTCACTGTCGCACGCTCGTTGTACTCCACCGTGGGATGTTAAACTTAATGTTTCTACCCAATATTAATTTTTAAGTCACAAAAAAAGTGATAGAATACCAAAACTCGTACGACAACCGAGAATATAACTTACTTACGTTGATGCGGCACGTTACAAACTAAATACCCGATGAGCTATTGCACTGAGAAGAAAAGTGCGGTCCTATGAGCGTGGAGCACGGTGTTCTATACTGCCGTGCTAAGGAAAAACGCAGTATGAACCTTCAGGCGTTGCCAAATTCCCCTCGATTAAACAATTCAGGGCAGGATTATGGGGGTGGCCACATGGGCCGCGGCCCATGGCGGCAAAATGTAGGGGGCGGCAAATTTTGCAATCTTTTTGAATGTAGGTATCAAAAAAAGAGAGAGAAAAATCGGATTCAGAAAATAAATTACAAACGAGGAAAGGCGACAAAATTTCTCATTTCTTGAGAGTGAAAGTATAGTAATTTCTAATTTTGTCGTGTTTCGGTGATACAAGAGACAACACCTTTGATTAGTCAAGTTAAGAGAGAAACCAAACACGCAATTTGACNATACTTTAAGTGAAATAATTATAGTCTTAGAGCAAATTCTGTGAAAAATGCTAGGAATTCCAATTTGTAAGCATCTAAAAGTCAGTTTGAACTTTCTATCCGCCATTAGGATCCATATAATTTCGAAACTTCAACCACGAGTATCTCGAAATAGCAAAAACTGCACGTATGCGTCTTGTTCTCCAGGCCCCTCGACTATACGTTCAAAATCTCACATTTGGTGCAAAACATTTCTGACAAGGGCAGAGTGTCTATACTAATCTAGTATGTGCGGAAAATTTGAATTTTTCAAAAATGGCCCGGGAGTAAGAACGGAATTTAGACGAGGGTCCAAAAATATTTTGACTCTGAGGCCGTTCATAAATTAAATAACGCTCTAGGGGGAAGGGGGGGGTCAAGGAAAGCGTTACGCTATTTCGTTTATACATGATATATAGGATAGGGACCTGCGTTACAAGGGGGGGAGAGAGGGGGGGTCAAAAATGTCGAAAAATTATTTATTGGAGCACCTTCCGCCCTCCCAGATGACTAGACGTTTTAACATGATTTCTTTCGCATCACTATGATACTTTAAAACCGACAAGATATTAAGCAATACCTCTTATATCTAACAATTTCATAAGCAAACGTAAGTTACAAAGATTGCGAAGTGAACTCAGATCCCTTTTCATAAATTTTGCTTTGACCCAAATCAAGGTTTTCCTCATTTCAGACAACATGAAACAAGGTTAAGGTTACGCTAACAGCGATGATGAGTCATTCATTTTACCTTGGTACGATTAAATATAAAAAGTGACGTTCGTTAAGCTATGATTTGCGTTCCGAACACGACAGGAAATTTAGTTTATTTATTTACTATCATGTCTCGCAGTAACAACTGATCTGTGTTGATTTACAAAAAGTTCTTTGTAATGTCGCATGGACTCAAACGCATATATACCTACGCATGCATAATGTTTTTGTATGTGTCCTAATTTCTTTGATAAATACAGCCTTAAAAGGAAAAACAACACAAATACATATATAAACTCTCAGAACTGCACGTGCATCATACTGCTCTGTGTGAACATCCTAGTGTTATCATTCTGTCAAATAAAAAAAAAATCCAGCCTCTGTATTTATTCATGAATAAACATTACTTTCACCCTCGCAAACAGTTTGATTCTTACAAACTTCCCCGAAATGCTCATTCTCCCTCAAATCTCGATGATCAGTTCGTAAAGAAGCTGTGATATGAACTCAACCGATGAAATTACGCACATTTCTTGTTAAATTCAGTGACCAATAATGTTGGAAAACGGGAGAGACTCTACGCTAACAAACTGAAAATTTTTTGAGTGCTTTGTATGGACGAAACTCGCACGCCAGTGGTGAGGCGTGATGATCGATTATCGATATTTCCCCACTTGAAGCTATGGTAAAGAATCGATCATGAAGGTGTTCATTGCGAACACTATGTTTATCGATCTTTTTCCGTAGGTTTAAATGACAGATCAATCGATATATCGCAAAGCACGCCACGCCACTGTCGCACGCTCGTTGTACTCCACCGTGGAATGTCAAACTTAATGTTTCTACCCAATATTAATTTTTAAGTCACAATAAAAGGAATAGAATACCAAAACTCGTACGACAACCGAGAATATAACTTACTTGCCTTGATGTGGCACGCCACAAACTAAATACCTGATGAGCTATTGCACTGAGAAGAATAAAAGTGCGGTCCTATGAACCTGGAGCACGGTGTTCTATACTGCCGTGCTAAGGAAAAACGCCGTATGAACCTTCAGGCGTTGCTAAATTTCCCTCGATTAAACATCAAGGTCGGATTAAGGGGGTGGCCACATGGGCCGCGGTCCATGGCGGCAAAAATTAGGGGGCGGCAAATTTTGCAATCTTTTTGAATGTAGGTATCAAAAAAAGAGAGAGAAAAATCGGATTCAGAAAATAAATTACAAACGAGGAAAGGCGACAAAATTTCTCATTTCTTGAGAGTGAAAGTATAGTAATTTCTAATTTTGTCGTCTTTCGGTGATACAAGAGACAACACCTTTAATTAATTAGTCGAGTTAACAGAGAAAACACGCAATTTGACCTGGAACGGAGCGGTGCGGCGTTCGGCATGTAACGCATAGCGCCTACAAGACTGCATGAATACTTCACGCATTGCGCCAAACGGTGTGGTCAGCAGCGGTCGGCGTGAAACGCATAGCGCCTACAAGACTGCGTGAATACTTCACGCATTGCGCCAACACAGTGCGGTCGGGCAGCGGCGGAAGTTAAATTTATTAACCACCTACAAGACTGTGTGAATACTTAACGCATTCCGCCAACACAGTGCGGTCGGGCAGCGGCGGAAGTTAAATTTATTAACCACGATTATGTTTGTTCTTTCATAATTTTTTCGTTCGTTTTTTATAAATGGAAGGCCTTGTCCAAACAGGGATGGCTTTACGGAACTGGACTTTTGTTAGTGTTGACAGGGCTTTCTCAAAAAATGTGGCCAATAACACGAGTAAACGCGTCTCATACACCCCTCCTCCACCGGCACGTTCACTTGATGGTTTTTATAGATCGTAGTAGACAGATCACACAGGTGATATTATATTGATATCGATTGGTTCAATATGTAACCACAGCGTCCACAGCCTCAAAAGTCAATTTAGAAATCTGAGGTAACGGGTCTTATGTGATCAAATTGTTATTCTCTCGAGTACCAAATGGCAATGAAAAGTGAAATTTTTAGGATTTTATCATTTTCAGCTTTTCCGACTTAAATCCTAAAATTTTTGAAAAATTAAAATTTTTGTTTGAGGTTATGTTCTATTGTTTTGAACCAAACGATACATCGAACCACTGTCGAATACGATCTATTGATGTTTCAAAACGAGTGAGAAGGGGGCGGAAAAATACAGGCGGCCTATGCGCGGCACGTAGGTGAATCCGGCCTTGTTAAACACACATTTTTGAGAAGACTTATGATTATTTTTCTTCCAATTTTTCAGATTATTTTGTTCGCAATTTCGCCTAAAGTTCCTGAAGATTTCAAGGAAAAATATTCAAAAATCTCCTTAAAAATACACATTTTGTCGGAGGAAATATGGCAACTCTTGAATGTTTATACGGCGTTTTTCCTTAGCAAGGCAGCATATCGGCCGCACCATTCGATTCACGTAACTGTACTCACGTTTCCAGAAACCGTTTACAACACTGTTTTTCCTCCATTTAAATTAACCAAAGATATCGACTTTAGGTAAGGCAAGCTACCTCACCAAGAAGCGATTGTTTTACATACATTCATATGGAGGAAAAGCAGTATTGCCAACGTTCAAATCGCCAGTGCAATTACCATAATTTTACAATCACTATAATTGTACCAATCAACGGTGATAGCTCACTTCATACTTTCGGTTGGTTTTCATAAAAAAAGACTTTATATTTGAAACGTTGCGATTGAAGATGCGCACTTTTTTTACTTTAGCCCATGAATACGCGTTTTGAGACTTTCACCACCAACACGATGCCATAGCACTCAAGATTAGCGACAAAAACGCGTTTACGAGGAATGTGAACTAAATACGTGTACGACGCAGGCATGAAAATTCGTTGTTTCCCAGCCGAAGGAACATAACTCCATTCCAACGTTGCAAAATTGTCGCAAGCAATTAAAGTTATCCCAAAAATGAACTTGTGCCATTGTTGTTTGAAATTGATCTGAATTTTGCATGATATCAGGAGAAAAATCAGTGAAATGTTCAGTTGAAAATTCCCAAGATTCTCCCGGTGATCGTACAATTTTCACGGGAAAATTTCACTGATTTTTCTTTTCAAAAATTTGAAAATTTTTCAGACAAAAATTGCACNTTTTTTTTTTTTTTTTTTTTTTTTTTTTTTTTTTTTTTTTTTTTTTTTTTTTTTTTTTTTTTTTTTTTTTTTAGAATGGTAACATATTTTATTTGTTTCTTTTATTACAAATTGGAATGGGGCCGACAGCAGCCCCACCCGAAATGGGAAGATTCATACCTATCATACTTACATAATTTTTTTTAATTTAATTAAATTTATCCCAACAATGAACCTGTTCAATTTTTGTTTGACGTTTTTCTAATTTTTGCATGAGATCAGGAGAAAAATCAGTGAAATTTCCAGTCAAAAATTCCCGAGATTCTCCCGGTGATACTACAATTTTCAAGGGAAAATTTGGCAGCATTGAGCCGTATTTACGTTCTTTCGTGAGGGAAACGACAATTTGAGCGCGATAGTGGAAAAGTGTGATTACCTGAGCAAATTAAGTGCACGAAGGATATCCACACGAGGAAAGCGCAAGTCCAACTCATGGTGACCGTTTAGCGCGAACTGCCCGAGGGGACGGTTAGAAAAAAAAGCATGACGGCCGAAAATGAAAATCTTCGAGCCTCCAAGTTAACGCGTCGTTGACCCTAATTGAGGCGCATTGAGGCTACACAGGCTCGGCATTTACACCGACCTTCGAATATACAGCCGTGCTAGGGAAAAACGCCTTATAAACCTTCAGGCGTTGCCAAATTTCCATTTATAAAACACGAGTTTCCGGCTAAACTTATGAATATTTATCTTCTAATTCATCAGATAATTTTGTTCGCAATTTAAACTAAAGTTCCTGAAAATTTCAAGGAAAAATATTCATGACTTTCCTTAAAAATAAGCATTTTATTGGAGGAAATTTGGCAACTCTCGAATGTTCATACGGCGTTTTTCCTTAGCACAGCAGTATTGTCCCGTGTTGCAATATGAATTTCCCTATTGTAGACCGCGTTGGTGTGAGGCCGGAAGGACGAGTGTGTGGTGAAGATGCGCGCATGGAAAGCATTTTGGTTCTTTCTTGGACCACTTACCTGCATTGTTTAGGTCCGGCCAAATTCATTGCAGGCGTCAGAGCGTGAACAGGCACAACGACATCGCTCGGATATTATGCAATCCCGTCCAACAATCATATGAGGACTCTCTTTCAGACATTAGACTCTCTGTGCGTTTATGAGCTGTATATTTTAAAAATAATTGTAAGTGATCGAAATTGTTTCAAAATATTTTTTAAAAAATCGGGCACTGCGCATTGGTGCTCATTGTTACACGGAGAAAAAAAACTCGTGCGTGGGACCCGAAGTTTAGGTCATATGGATCTCTGAAGTTTTCAGATTGAGGATGTGAACACTTTAGGTCTAGCTGCCGAAGTTCGGATCATACATCTGAAACTTCAGTTCTTACATCTGAAGTCCTTCAGATGTGACAACCGAAGTACTTCGGATGTGAGAACCGAAGTACTTCAGATGTGAGAACCGAAGTACTTCAGATGTAAGAACTGAAGTTTCAGATGTATGATCCGAACTTCGGCAGCTAGACCTAAAGTGTTCAGATGCTCAATCTGAAAACTTCAGAGATCCATATGACCTAAACTTCGGGTCCCACGCACGAGTTTTTTTTCTCCGTGTAGGGGAAAGTGCCTTTATAGGGAGATTAGAGCCACTGGGCCCCATGGAGGGACTTAGGGCCCAAAAAGGGCGGTTTTTTTTTTGTTTTTTTTTTTTTGTATGTTGCTTTAGACTTTATATCCGAGGGATACTATGGCTTTGGAAGGGCTCTGAAATTTAAAAGAAATTTGGGTTTTAATTAAAGCTGGGATGAAAGGGTAAGGGAAGGTATCATAAAAGGTCTAGGGATTTATGTTAGTATTCTGTAGGAGATAAAGGGATAGTAATGAGGTTTTATGAGATGATATTGATTGTCTTGTATTGGGGGTTTTTTTAATGGTTCGTGGAAGGCCTGGTTATTTTCACGTTCAAAGAGGCTCAACTGGAAAGACTTACATTGCTAACCTAGGATAGAGCCGTGGAAAACATATATCCAGATACCAGGGACATGCCAACCGCACTTGCTGCCAACCTCACTACATCTACGACGATTTTTCTCAAAAAGAGCACTTGATTGGCCGTAAACCCGAGTATATACGTTGTAATAATGCATTTGAGTACAGTTCTCGGCAAATAAAACTATATTTTGGGTCATTTCGTATTTACATTTATTGACATCGTCCGACATTTTTGAGTCCTTGAAGCCTCCATTCAGCCTAGGATGGCTGAGCTAATCAGAGGTGGTAACCGAAGTGGCCATACTCTCCCTATAGAGGTACTTTGAAGGAGAGGTACTATTTTAGTGTCAAATATAGTCATTTCACACGCGTATAACATCATCAATAATGCAAATTTTGGTTCGTAGTCTAGACCCGATGCTCTTAAGAGTAATAGTAATTCATGATCGAAAACCGAGAGGCGACATTTCTGGGCTCAAATTGGTATTTTAGTGACGCTGCTTAATGGAAGTCTCCACCTGAAAGGCCCTTTTGCGTAAAACTCCATCACATTTGAATATCAATAGACATCACTTCAGAAGTTCCAGAAAGAAGTTGTCCGGTATGGTGACGCCTGGATACATTTTAGGCGGCGCCCATTTTCTTAATTCAAATGACGAGACTTGGTACGTCTCTGTTATAATTATTGGTACCATTGAGGACCGTGGCTATCTCTGGAAAACTATATTTACAAGTAGAGGGTCGATATCTTTGATAACAAGCCAAAATCATTTAACCAAGGAATCTAATAAAATTGACTGGAAAATAAAAAAATAAAAATAAAAAATTCAGTACCTTCCCAAAAAAAGTCGCTACCTCATAAGCGAAAAAAATTCAGTGCTTTTCCGGTTAGTACCTTTATGTAGATAATTATTTGAGTTCCTTAGATTTAATTATATTTCTGATCGCTTTATTTTTAATTCTTCTTTAAAAATTATCCATTTGCTAAATACAATCCTAGCTTGAGCACACTTAAACTATAAGGTCAGAACTGCAATAGTGGCAAAGCAAAACCGACAAGGCCAGCGTGGAGGCTAATTCAATATTAATCTTCCATGCCAAGGCGCAACGATACAACTATTAGTACTCTTCGGAATGCGTGAGGTATCACGCCACAATTGAAGGCGTTTTCGAAACTGCCAACTTTCCATATAGGGACTCTTGAGTCTCGTGCCACATAAAATTCGGAGAGTGAGATAATTGTAATGACTGCTCTTACGAACTAGTGCAACAGTTATGTGCACATCTCCTTGTTTTAATTTTGTGTTTACAGCTTTCGTGCCAGTTGATACTGAGTGTGTAATTTGCTCGACTGTGTTTCGTTCTATTTAAGCTTTTGATACACATTTTTTACTGCACTTTCTTGTATTCTATTATTGATTTGATTTACCTTTCTAGTAGCTATATTTCTTAGTTAGTTTCCTTTTAATTACATTTTTTACCGCTTGTTTATTTTTAATTATTCTTTAAAATTATCCATGTGCTGAATACGATCCTAGCTTGAGCACTCTAAACTATGAGGTCAAAAGCGCAACAGCGACAAAGGTAAACCGACAAGGCCAGCGCCAGCGTGCAGGCTACTTCAATATTAATCTTCCATCGCATTGCTAAGGCGCAGCGATACAACTATTCGTACTCTTCGGAATGCGTGAGGTATCACGCTACAATTGAAGGCGTTTTCGAAACTGCCAACTTTCCTTATCAGGATTCTTGTGTTGCATAGGGTGTCTATTAAAACTGGCTAGCAAATAGTTAGTACTTTTACAGTACTTATCCAGTGCCTTACCAACAAATTCAGCACCTCATAAGCAGAAAAATTCAGTACTTTTTTGGCTCGTGAAAATGACGAAATTCGAAATTCATGCGCAAATTGCGGGGAAAATGACGTAGCTAGGAAATTCGAAGCTCATAAATGGCGCAATGACCAACTGGTATTACAATAAAATACTGCACCAAGAATCATTGCGTGACGGATTGCATATTTTCCAGGCTATTTTAAAAACATCCGTGGCATGAAGGGAAAAATTCCGAATCTTTATAGGGAATTTCAGTACTTCCGAACCGCCCTAAAAAATATCAGTATTATTTCCGGACTTTTCGGATTTTCTTGACCAGTAATTCAACACATGTGCGAGTGGAGATAGCTATCAATAAATTATCAAACCTCCCTTAACTATTAGATACTCGTAAAATGTGAGACTGCGATATTCTACCAGTTTTCAAGTCAAGATAAGGCCTATTATATACCTACCCGTCCAAAAGAAAAAAGTGGGAAACATTTTAGAAAATGCTGCTTCTGAGTCTGCTCATACAATTTTTCGCCACAAGAAAGGACTCGATGCCATGGAGGACAAAATATCCACTTAATGGATACCCATACTTTAAACATTTCATCTCATTAAATGGATCGAACTTAAAAAATTATAACACAAGGTCTAAGTAAATGAATAGTAGCTGCTGTCAGGTTTCCTTTCTGAATGAATATTTTGTCTCTGGATCGCACTTACATTTCATCGGGATAGCCATATCGGCAGGCAAGATTTTTTTTGCCTACCTCACGAAAAAAACACGCAACAAAAAAGAAGGTAGGTATACGGTATCTTAACAGCCCACAACCCCTGCTAGCATGAGCTCTCCCTAATTTCTACATTGGCAAATAATGCCACGCAGATCATTGAATTAACCAACTGTTTATCCTCGACACTATGTTCATAAGACAACCGCGTTACTGATCACAATGCGAAGCATTCTGTTAATTGATCTGAATGAAGTGAATAAAAGCGAAACGTCAATAGAAAAATAGCGTTTCGGGGAAATCGTGACTAACATGAGCATGACCAATGACAGGAACTAAAGTTCATCCTAAGTATAAAACCTACCTACGTAGAAACGGATATCCAACAGCTATACTCATTTGCAAAGTCTGGAATAATAAAAACAAATCAATTAAGTCGGAGTTATTTCCATAGTTTGAATACAGGGTGTTTTAAAATCTTCTGCGAGCATGAATTTTGCGGTTCATCATTCATATCTCTAGAGTGATATTGAAGATGAAATCGACCTCCTGTCTAAATCTTCACGTTTTCTTTATTGGGAGCAATTTGAACACATTAACCTCTTTAAATTCTCTTTTGCGTTCTTTATGTAAAAAATTCCCTGATTTTTCTGCAAAAAAGCAGGAAAGAAATTAGGTACTTCAAAGGGATAAAAAATAAGGCTGAGCGGATTTTTTTTTCTTTGGTAGTTTATTCGCATTTCTGTCCCTCGTTGACACTTTAAATTGCCCCACTTCTGTTGTCGTGCTGTAGATATACTGGAGGAAAAAATTAAGTATTCGTGCATTTAAAAATGTTCATGTTTCTTCGAATCATACTGTACTACAACCATAACATCAAAAAATGACACCACGATAACAGTTCCAAGAGATTTACTTGTAGAATAAAATGAAAAAAGACTGATTATGACTGACCTACCCTTGACTTGTGATTGCTTATCGCTTTTCACCTTCTCTCTACGAAGTTTTCTCCACGAAAACAAGTGATTGGCCGTTTGAGAAATTCCCAGTCGGAGCCAAACTGGTTGGCTCATCCTCCTCTAAATTCCTCGTCATTGAGCATTTTATCAGCTGCAATTTTACGCCGGAACCGAAATTTACCTTGTCAGTCAAGGGCAGGAGTGCTTATAAAGTTTAAAAAATTTTATTACCGCTAGTATTAGTGTTGTGAAAGTGATCGGCTCCTATGTTGTGATTTGTTCCTCCTCCAATCGGCTCTCATTCTACTGCTGGAAGTAAGTGCACTTTTAATACACACTTGAATTACTTTTGCAGTGATCGATACATAGATACTCGAAAAATTTTTGACAATAACATGGTATATTCTCTCTCCGAATAGTTTGAAAATTTTAAGAGTTTTTTTTTAAACTTGAGAATAGTAGGTATAAAATTGGAAAATTTAGTCATTTTAAAATCTTTTAATTATTTTGCAGTGAACGTTAAATGAACGGGTCCATCATTCAGTCGTGGAAAACTGTTACAGAGGCTGCTCTGAAAATGATTTTATAAAATTCCAAGCCGCTTTTAGTTTAAACAATAACATACATATCTAGACAGAAAGTCCTCTTGAGGCTCCTAAATATTTTTAATAGTCGGTGAGACCTACCAAACCACGTATCTCGGTTTGCGACGTTGCAGATTTCCTGTCATACTTCACTTTTTAAAAGAAAAGCTACTGAAAATCAATTCTTGAAAACTTCCGTGATTTTTCTTCCCTAAAGAAGAAAACTCTGTGTAAACTTCAAAGGATGATTCTGATTTGTTCTCCTACGAAAAAATAAAATAGGAGCGGGGATTTTTAAACACAGCAAACGAGATACGTGGTCTAATAGTTTCACCGTCGATATACAGATTAACACATCTTTCTCAATTGAAGTTGTGGTGATAAAAAAGTGTGAGGATCTGATGGTTAAAGGTCTATCTGTCTGAATGATACACTTATATTCTAAGAAAAATAAACTTTAATCTTATACAAAGTCGTTAATTTATTTTTGAAAAAAATGGGAAACAATAATAAAAAAGATCACTGGCCAAATGTTTTTAAAAATATAACCATCGTAAAGAATTCTTCTTCGCGAGAGACCTTTAATTAGTTACCTACCTATCAAAAACTATTTAAGTGCTTAATTGTTTTCAATCGATGATACTTACCTCAATCAGATTCGTACTTCCATACACTTCCTGGACTACCAACAAAGATAAATTAAAAACCAATCCGTTTTACTCTCTTATAATAAGGACCAATTTTATTTGATTTTTCCTTTTTAAAAATATTGAATAAATATCTAGATATCCTGTAACCGTCCATTGAAGAGAAGAGCCAAGTCCACAAAAGTTGAATACTGCATTATTGAAACCAGAGCATTGGGGTTTGTTTCGCGAATATTTTAATAAGTGACAAAACGCCCAATTTCAAAGCAAAGTTGAGCTATAGTGGTTCAGATTTGTTAATTCAACGAACGTGCTTCCGAGTTTATTCTGCCATTTGCTAGGTTATAATGCAACTTTGATCCCTCTGCGAGCACAAAAATGACCTAGACTTCATTTTGCAATTTGGAACTACTTTGTCTGCCTTATGTTAAAAAAAAAAAAAAAAACAACATAATAGTGCAATAGTGCAAGTAGTCTAGCCAAACCAATCGCAACTTATTCTGTAGGGAATTTGGAAAAGCCGTTGAAATTCGGATTTCTCGACTCAACTTTATAGAAACTCGCTCCTTTGAAAAGTGTGCTCCTGTGGGAAAATGTCCCTTTTCCGGTAGGCGAAAAAATTGTTTAAAAAATTAATAATAATGAAAATAAATGAATAAATAAATAAGTTAAGAAATACATAAAAATTTGAAAAATATGTTTTGAATACATGATCACTGTCTAATTCGCAAATTATTTTTATACATGAAAAAAAGGGAGAAAAAACCACTAAAAGTTACTCCGGAGTGTAAAAGGGTGATAGAATAATTAGTGTGAAGCCAGCACTATTCAACCATCTTCTTACAATTTGTATGTGTCCGACGTTCCTAGTTTCTGAGATGATAATAATACAATAAAATTACGCAATGCCTCCCTCCTCACCTCGAAAAAAAAATTGACTACATAATTAAAATGACCACAATTAATTTTAATATTTTGAGTACCGTAATATCCACTTGGGTGGTGTTTAGACAGACCCCAAGTTGAGTAGCCTGTGAGCTGAGAGCCTAAACGTAGGAAGAAAAGGCTATGGCTTGACGTCAGACCAGCTGAAAAGTCTGATTAAATTACTCTCCACAGACGTCAGAAAGCTTCGAATTATAGCCACGATGTTGATTCAAAATCAATTATCTTTATCCACGTGGTGCGTTGATAAAAATAATCTTGAACCCAAATAAAGGAGTCTGTATCCGAGCTGTTGGTCAAATGTTTGATCAGTATTTTTGTGTTCTTTACTGCTTTATTGATATTTAACGTATGTGCATTAGATTTCTCTTATTTTCATTGAAAAATGCGTTACTCCATTGCAACGTTTCAAAATCTCCAGTTAAGTTTCATTTTTTAAATAAAACGAGCCAAATTATCCCCTTGCAAAGTTCTATGAATATTTTTGAATGAGAGAAGAAAAGTCACCAAATTATTATTATTTTCATTGATAATAGTACTTTTTTTATTTCATTTTTTGTCGTTGTTGTTGCCGTAATAAACTGTTGGTTACTACTTTTAATAGATTGAATATTGATATTGATATTTACATTTGATTTGATTTGATATTTACATCGGTCATACCTACTCACCCCCCCCCCCTCCCAGAAAAAATATATAAATTCAAAAATAATAATTCTGTGAAATGTTGAGAAAATTTTGTAGATAAGACAAAAAGAAAAAAAACTCGGAACATCGCCGAAAAATGATCAATTTTTTCTCACAATTAAGGAAACATTTTGCATCGTCACAGCTCGACTAACATGCTCATTTATTTAGTTCTATATCAACCATGCACTGGAAAAAAAAACGCATTGGATCTTAGAGTCCAGACTCTTAAAAACATCAACAAGAAAAAGTACTCTTGATTCAATCAGAATCTAGCTTAAATCAAGAACCAAGCCTCTTAATTTAAGCAGATTTCGTTTTGTTCCAAGCAAAAATCCGACTGAATCAAGAGTATTTTTTCTTGTTAATGTTTTCAAGAGTCTGGACTCTAGATCCAATGTGTTTTTTTTTTCCAGTGTGGTCGTAGAATGCTCTGATTGCGCCGGTGCAAATCTCCGCTCTCGTTATGTTTTTTCAAGAGGAAAACCTATCAACCGATTTTCTTGAGAATTTTCAATGAATTTCCCTTGCTCATTCAAGAAATCACGGAAAATCTTTAGGAGATATTCCGGCTAATTTCCTTTAATAAAATCTAGCAAAAGCAGAGATTTTTAAACGCTGCAATACAGTTGCGCATTGTTAGATTCGGCCATCGATAATCAATACGCACATTAATACCCTGGTAAAAATTGGCAGTAGAATGTGTGTTCCAAAATACTATAGACCTATAGCCGGCTGTACAATTTCTTATAGCCTTTTATAGCCGATGGCAATTAAGCAACAGCCAGACGATAAAGTTTATGCTAAACGTTACTAAATACGGATACTAGGACTTGGTTCGTTTTTGGACTACCGCTCTCGTTTTGTGCCGTAGTATCTTGATTTATTTTGCGAGGAAAGGTCCTTACTTTTGAAGGATGCCTGTCATTCTTAATACGTAAAATTTCTTATGATACTATGTAATACCTCTGGTGTGAAATAGTTGCCTCAGACGCCGTGGCACGCTGCGGCGCGGCGGGCGGGCAGAGAGCACGAAACGCGCATTGGCGCATTGCGCAATGCGTGAATTATCCCTGTTAGGTTTGTAGGCGCCGGTGCGTCGTCGCGCAATGCGTGAAGTATCCCTGTTAGGTTTGTAGGCGCCAGTGCGTCGCCGCGCAATGCGTGTAGAGTATCCCTGTTAGGTTTGTTGGCGCCAGTGCGTCGTCGCGCAATACGTGAAGTATCCCTGTTAGGTTTGTAGGCGCCAATGCGTCGGCGCTCCGCTTTGTATTAGGCTCTAATATTTACCTAATCTCGCGGAGTCAGCGATTTTCAACTCATGATTTTGAAATGTTTGCACACTCTGTATGGACCATCTCATTTTAATTGATGAAAAAAAATATGTTTTAAAGGAAAATATAATGTGTGTTTTGTAAACATTAAGGTAGTTCCGTTTTTTTTTNTTTTTTTTTTTTTTTTTTTTTTTTTTTTTTTTTTTTTTTTTTTTTTTTTATTTGCACATAAGAGATTTTGTACAAACTACACTTTTAGACTTCATAAAAAGTCTTTTAAAAGCTTTTCTTAACTGTCTAAATAAAATTAAACTAATTTTAAACAAATTTTATAAAAAGTACTACCTTTACAATATTAAGGAGAATGAATAAAGACAAGTTTACTTCAAAGTAAAAATGGTCTTTTTGATTTATCTGTGTGGAAAAATTGGGCGACCGGATTCGGTCAAAGCCCGAAAAAGCCCCTGATCACGTCTTGAGAGCGTAGAGAGGCATGTGTAGTTTAACTATTTAAGGAAATTTTGAGAAGCCCTGGATTCCAAGCTCATAGGGCTTGCGACGCTTTAATCTTCGACCACATCGGTCCCATTCCAAGAGCTCAAGAGCTTCAGGGTTGGGGTGCCGGTGTAGTCGAAATTCATATGCAGTGTACATCTTGGTGATGTAGTCCTCCACTGAATCAATGTTGAGGTCCGTGCGAATATCTACATTCCTCTCATACCATCTTGCTTTAGCTATACTTCTTAAAATCTTCATTTGCATGATTTCTATTTTATCTAAATTTGACTTGGCTGCACAACCCCACAATTGGCAACCGTAACTCCAAACAGGCCTCAACATTGATTTGTAGAGGAGCAACTTGATGTTTAGAGATAACCGTGACTTACGTCCGATGAGCCACTGCATATTGGAAAATTTCAGTCGCAATTGTGCTACCTTCTTTTTAATATGGTTGCCCCACCTGAGCCTGGAATCCAGGTGAAGTCCAAGATATTTGGCGACATTGTCGTGTGGAATTTTATCTTAAGGTAGTTCCGTATCAAACTTAATGATTTCCAAAGCACACGAATTTCTACACAATTTCTTATAGCCTTTTATAGCCAATGACAATAAAGTGTAATGCCCGGCGATAGGAACTATAGCCCGACTGTATACTTTTTTATAGCTTCGTATAGCCCGGCTGTATGATTTGCTCCGCTTTCTACAGCCAGTTATATAATTTTCAATAGCCTTCTTTAGTCGGCTATAAGAACTACCTATGGTATTTTGAAACGCAGCTCGTATCGCCAATTTTTACCAGGGTATTTCCATTTTATCTGATTTATTCACGTTTCGTTTGATTTGTTTTCAAGGAATGAAACCTGTGACAGTGCTGTTGTCAGCACTATGCATGACAATTCTTGTCATCTCTGCCAGGGGAGCGGCGCTCTACCCTCAGCAAGAGGAGTGCGACGAAGGTGAGACGCTAAAATTTATGTTTTTTCGTCCATATTGTGCGTAGTAACGCTTGTCGTATGTCAATATTGGTTTCAATTTGTATGCTCTCTAATAAAATATTATGTCAAAAAAAAAAAAAAAAAAAAAAAAAAAAAAAAAAAAAAAGCTTGTCGTATACAGGCGGAACCAAAGTCTGATTATAAGGAATCAGCCTTTTGCAGCTGAACCTCTGCTAACAAAATTACCCTCCACCCTCCACCCGCATCTTTACTTCGAGGATGATTTTTCTATGAAATATCACCAATTCAATGCATTCATCGGAACAGATTGACTGGAAAAAATTGAGGGGCTTTAAGTACAAGGCACACGAGTGCAGTTAGTGCTGTTACGTGAAATACGTGCCTGAAGTCTCAGAATTACATTGATCCTTACAGCGGAAAGAAAGTTCAAACTAACTTTTTGATGCTTAAAAATTGGAATTTAGGAGCGAATTTTTCACAGAGTATGCATTAAGACTAATTTTGCTGGAAGTCATTAATATCTCTAATTTTTTGAAAACTGCACTTACGCGCCTTGTCCTCCACATTCCTCAATTGTGCTTGCTCTCTTATATCATACGAAAAAGAAAAACAAAAACAAAATCCCCGTTGAAATTCTCTGTCACTAAATTTGAAATGAATAAGGAGAAATTGCAGAAATATTGTTGTTTACTTTCTTTTTAAGAAAAAAAAATACAACACGAGTGGAGGCGTGCGACGTTGCAATCGGAGATAAATAGGCTCCTTTCGCGTGTAGCCATCGATGTTTGACATAAGTTGAGGAAGACGAGTGTGAGATAACTATTCGACCACGGATGATACGCATATTGCTGATAGGTGCAATTGAAGGCGCGCCACACTGCGACGATAACGCGATCAACAACGCACGGTAGATCGAGTGAATTGGAGGGATCGGACAAAAGGAGACTTTATTTTTATTTTTAATACGATGGCACCTATTGGAAACCGAGGAGCTGAATTTTTTCAACTTTTTTTAAGCATACAAATAGACCGCACCCTACTGCGGGTGGTTACAAATGAATTATTGTTCTTGGATATGTTTTAGAAGTTTTTTTTACTTAATTCACCGTGCTTTTCTTATAACTGTGCGAAGTCTTGTGATGAACGTCAACTTCAATAATAAAATATTTCAAACTTTACCTTGGCAGTAACAAGAAATCATTTATTCATTTCGATCTTTTTTAAAGTGTGAGTAACTAAATCTATTTTCAACAAAATAAAGTTCAAAAAATTAGGTTTTGGAATCTGCAGTATTTCAAAGAAATCATTGGTAATAACCGATTGAACTTTTAATGCAGATAATCAACAGCGAACGGTGAACAACGAGGACTTTATACGGAATGCCGGATACAGAAGCAGTCAAAACACACTCCATCTAGGACCAGACGGTAGCAAATTTAGAGAACACTACGAAAAGCTGAAGCAAAAAGCAGACCAATTTGTTGGCTCATCTGGCACCATGTAAGTAGAGACAAATTGTGGATTTCAAATTATTTTCGCAAAATAGTGATCAGTCTTTTTTTCATAAAGATAGGATGGGAGTAAAATCTTCTATAACACTGTGATCGCAGTACGATTGTTTTTGTTTTTTTTCACGACTTTAACCATCGATATAGGCACTATTCCTTAATTGTTATCAAAGAGTATCCCATAAAAACTATAGACGATAATGAGGTCAAAATTTTAAGACACTCCTTGAAACTTCCTGGACTTGATATACCCTAAAATACAGAATTTTTCAATGCACATGAAAACATTTTAAAAAGGTATCAGGTGGAGGCCTTTGAGATAACCTCTAACGGTTGATCAATTTTATCAACCGCTTTCTTCAACCAATCTTTTACCACGATACGCTGAGCAACTATTCGTACACATCGGCGGCGATTTTGCCTACTTTTTAGATTGAAGGAGATTCAAGTCGTAAATGTTTATTGCCGCGAGAGGCACGTAAAGAATGATTCGCTTCATCTCGTGAGAAATTCGCATTAATCATGAAAATTCATTTATGCTGTGTAAAAATGGGTGAAATTCGCAATAACGGGACCAAGGTCAGTTATGTCGCCCGACTCATTACCAGCGTTCTCAAAGGTTCAAAACTAATTAATGAAGAGAATTATACATATAATAACGTGCGCTGCCGTGCTAAGGAAGAGCGTCATATGAACATTCGAGAGTTGCCAAATTTCCCCGTATAAAACATGTATTTTCGACGACATTCATGCATACATTTCCTTGAAATTTTAAGATATTTTAGATTGAATTGCGTGTAAAATTGCCTGAAAATTTTGGAAAAAATAGTCACAATTTTCCTGATTTTATGGAAGGAAACTTGGCAACGTCTGAAGGTTCATACGACTGCGTTCTTCTATGGCACGGCAGTGTAGTGCCTCTGTAACTGCAAAACATGTTTGCCTACGCCATTGAAAGATCCACACAGATTCATCGAAAAAACATACTAATCATGAACTCCATGTAAGTAAAACCCTGAGTAACTTATGATTTCCTATTTTTTCAGTCCACAAGATCTGGGAGTGGATTTGAACGGAGGAGCTTTCAACAAACTGGAAGCAGGGTCTCAAACGAGCAGCTCGAGTTTCCATTCTTCAGGGGTGAACGCCGGGATCCGCACCCCGGTGGCGACCAACTTCTACAACAATGACGGTAGTTTGCTGCACACGGTGGAAGGTCTCAAAGCCCACGGCCAAGGAGTCCAGTTCACGGCGACCGGCGGAATCTTACCCCTGAAGAACTACCAAGAAGGGCAGGTCTTCTCGCACAACGGCGGCGGCTACGGCGGCTCCTTCGAGAAACACTCCTCCAGCCACTCGGAGCACTCCAGGACCTCCAACAGCGGCCTGCCGATCACGTTCACCCCATACGAGAAGCACCACCAAAGCTCCAGCATCAACGTCCAGGAAACCGTCAAGAGGCGCAACTACACCGACTACCTGGAGCCGGAGCTGATCTCGCAGAAAACCTCCACGGTCGTCCATCCGTTAAACGTGGCGTACGGAGCCCAAAGCGCCGGTACTTACAACCAAGGCTTGAAGACGCACGCCAACTACGACCATAGCAACAGTGGCTCGTACGGACTCTACCAAGTGCCCATGACCGTCATCCCAGTGCTGGGCAGCAACGACGCCAACTATTTATCAGAGACCAAAAGCCAGTCTCTGAGCAAGACCCTCATCTCCTCGCATGACTCCACCCACGGCGCGGTCGACGCGAAACCGATCAAAATCCAGACCGGCTCTTACGTGAGGCCGACCCCGTCGGGTGTAGACCAGATGTGGCACAAGATCGTCCAGGGGCAGTCCTACCAGGTGAACAACAACCCCGGCGTTCTGCAGACGAGTTTCGGGACGACAGAGGCGGAGAGCGACGATAGTCTGCAAACCCACGTGAGTCCGATCGCGCTGAGCGCTCCCCAAAGCTCGCAGTACGTGTCCAAGAGCGAATCGCAGAAATCCGAGTCCTCCTCGTCGCTGCACGAGTCGTCCAGCCACCAATCGGGATCCTACTCGGGCGGACAATCTCTCCAGAGTCAAGGTCAAGCCAAGGTCACCGCGGGCGGAAGAGCCCCGGTCAACACTTTCGTCGGAGACCCCAACGCCCCCCAAAACAGCGGCTTCGCCATCACCGGCGAGAACAAAGGGTTCTACGCCAAGTCCGTCGAGTTGGCCAACCTGTTGAGCGCTACGATCGCGCCGATGGAGACTAACGAAAACCAGGCGGTGCAACAGAGCTCGCAGCAGAGCAGCTCTAGTTCCCAGGTGAACGTGATTCCCTCCAGAACAGGAGTTCTATCCGGGTCCCAAGACAGCTACCAATCCGGCTATGCGGGCGGCTACGGTGGCGGCGTTAGATCTGGCTACCAGAGCAACTACGAGAAACACCACAGTAGCAGCTCTCATTCCGAGAAAACGCAGACGCAAAATCTCAACGGTCAAGAATCCGTCAGCGGTGTTCCGGTCATTAACGAGCCTTACAGACTTTCTGGCGGTGGCAGCACCTACGACTGGTCTGCGAGGGGCGGTGGTTTCGGTCAGTATGCTCAACACGCGGGTAGTTACAGACAGGTCGGTGGGTACGCTGGTCACGACAGTGGCAGGCAGATCTCCAACGCCCAAAGCTGGCAAAGCTCCTCTGGTGCCCACCCTGTGGTGTGCAGAGAGTGTGCCGAGGGCGTTGGGCAAATTCAGTACGGTTACCAACAAGGAACGCCCGTTAAGAGTTCCTACGGGCTCTCGTCTCGTTTTGCCGCCTCCTCCAGCGATATCAATGGGCAGAGGTCCGAGTCGAAAAGTGCGTCCGTTACTATAAATGATAATGGAAAGATTGATACTTACAACCGTCATACCAAGTGAACAAATGATCAGCTGAGAGAAAAATTCAAAAGAGACCTGTCAGTGTCAAAGTCCTTGATAAGTGAGGCTGATTATAGTTCGATAGTTGGACGTTCTTAGGGGTAGTTTTCCTGAAATCCTCCTCCCACCCACCCTATAACACCCGAGCCCTAAACATCATTATTTCAAATTTCATATGGTGGTTTCTCTCTGTCTTCAAGTTCCTGATGATTAATATAATTCGAAAGAAGGCAGTTAAGAAGCTTTAATTGTCTTCGTTCTTTTTCCTCTCTTTTTTTTTTTTAAAATCATTTCCCGATACAAGGAGAAAAAACTGAAAGCTAAGGCGAAAGAAAAAGATATTGGTTGATTTGCCTCTCCATTCTGCGAATTAAGAAATTATACATATCTTTGAAGTGAGCTAAATGCACAGGGCCTATTAACTTATTACTTTTTTAATTTATTTCTGTTACTGACTAAGTATTTAGTATTAAGTTGATATTTATTTTTCTATTGTATGTATGAGAAGTATTTATTTAATGTAATTAAGTTGGTGTGATAAGATATAATTAAACTTTAAAAGAATTCATGACTTCTTTTTTCAGACGCTGACACTGGTAGACTAACCTAGATATACTGAAAGAATTAAATATTCAGGATTGAGAGTCGGATTGAATATTTCGATTATTTTATAAGACATCCATTTTTAATCATCATTATCATTCAATTGATTTTCTAAATGGCTTACGAAAAACTTACTTTTTAACATATCGACGAATCGTATGTTCACAGGGATGTTTTTTTTCTTCTTTGTTATAAGTCCCATTGTAAGTTGTGTTACCAGATATTATTGGAGGTTTCAGAGTTTGCATAAAATGTAGTGGGTGCCTTTTTGTGCATTGCAATTACCCACCCATTTGTCTCTGAATTAATTATTTTTATGATTTAGGTAAATATTTTTGCTGAAGCTAGGTTTCAAATTTAAATTTGGAATTTTATCAATTTTAAAAAGAAACATATGCATAAATAAAATAACATTAATTTATTAATTATAAATGATGGCATATCTGATAAAATTCTAATAACAATGGTTAGAAAAATAAGCAAAATTTATATTTAACACAACTAAAATAGGAATATAACTTGTTTGAAATGGTAGGTAAACTGAAAATTTTTGAAAAATTTAATTACATGCCCACTGAAACTACAAAATGTTGCAAATCTGCAACTATGAATCAAGGCACAATTGCAGCAAATCATACATTAGTAAAACTATCTACCGAATAGACCTTTGCGAAAAATGACAATGATAGAATAATGTTCCATAACTATTAACCTATCACTGATAAAATTAGAAAAGCATGTTCATCAGTTCTGTCATGATACAAAGACAAGCTCAGTACTGTGTTCAAATTGAAGAAAAATGCAGCAAATGCGTAAAAAATCACTTATCACAATTTTTGTAATATTTAATTTAAAGAGGACAATAAAGTAGAAAGCTGCTAGATGATTCCTATATTTTAAGCTGCAATATGCACTCAAACCTTGGTAAATTAAAGCAGCTGACCATAACATTCCTGGGGAAGAGAAAGCTTAAATTATGCACGTTAGTCCAGTCTGATTTCGAAAAAAATATTAACGTTGAAAACAGCAGACAAAATTTCAAGTACTTGGATGGACATGAAAGTTTTTTCTTTGAAAAAAAAATAATAATAAAATAATATATAAAGTAATTATGTATTTTCTTCATATTTCAAACAAAAAGTAAAAACAAAATAAGAGGATATAATTCCTCCTCCCTTTACTTCAAATACGAGCTTTTTGAGGTTATTTTTGAATTTTTACAGCAATATAAAAGAACTGAGCTGAAGGGGGGAGGGGGCATGTTACAAAAACCAACAGGCTGACAATTCAGAAAATAAAAAAGTTACGGAAGACTAATTTTTTTGCGAAAACACCGCAGAATGAAACACCGGGAGAAATAATAATGTACAGTAATACTCCTTTTTCCTGAGAAATGATTGGATAATACTGTTCGAAAACTTCATTATGGAAAAGGATGATAAAACATAAGTTTAAGGTACTCCGAGGGTCCTTGATAGTGTACCTTTTGTAATCAATTTTTCAAACATCATTGGTTGAAACGAGAAAAATGTTTTCTGATGACTTTGCCAGTAGTTATTGATACAGAAATTTAGGGGAGCATAAATCCCTCATCAGACATGAAAATATTTAAACAAAGCAGTCACTTGAAAAAGGTGACTAGTTTTCATGAAAAACAATCCTGCTCCAAGTTTAAAACTTCACAAGTGTAAATGAAAAAATTCCTTGGATTCAATTTGAATTGAAAAACTTGATACTGAGTGAGTTTAGGAAGAAATGCAAATTCAAAATTCTGAGAGTAGATCCTTGAAAATGAATCCTTATCAACTCTCAAGCTCAGTGTTCAAGTACATAAAATTCACGCGGCAAAAACTCTTAAATAATACATTTAACTAATGTGTCAATCCTTGACAAAAGCAACCGAATTATCCTAAAATACATAACACATGGTCAGTTGGTCACCTTTATTCCTCACATGCTAACTTTTCTCAATGATATTTTCAAACAATCACCAGTGTAACTTCAAGAGAATTTTTCGGTTAATAACACCGCTTTTCATGATACAATACTGTATAACTGAATACTTAAGAATAAGAAGTATGTATTTAAGTACTTAATCAAAAGGGTGGGACTTTTCTCCTTTATAAGGACATATCAGCGTTGAAATTTAAAAAATACTTAGTTTATAACAAGTCTGCCTTAAAGTGAGGAGCACCGGGATATTTTTGGCTTCATAGTGAATAGTTGTTAAATTTTGGTAAATGACTCTCTCTTTTTTACAATCCTACATGGGTTACTAATTTTACATGGAAGCAGTGCCTGCAGCCAATTCTGCTTTCACTGGAAACCAAGTATCAAAGCTAATACCATAACATAACACTAATAATATTAATTGTAGCGGTAGACAATCTAATAATAATACACAATTACACCCTAGAAAGAAAATAATTAAGTAGCTTCAAGCTAAAATTTCAGTACTAAAACATACTTGAATTTTTTAAATTCAATGAAGTCCAACAAAACCATAAAATAAGATAACCAAACATGACTAAAACAGGTTTTCAACCACCAAATCTTTAAAATACTGTAAACCTAAAATAATTTAGAGGATTTGAAAAGCTCCTAAGGAGTACCATAATACAATGCAACAATAAAGTTTTGAATTTCATACAGAGGTTAGAATAGCCACAATCATTTTACACAGACCTTCAGTTTCTCTAGCAAAGGCATGATATTAAAATAGCCATGGTTGCAGTTTGGCAACTAAGCTGTTCAAAGGAAAGTTTCCAAAAATATCAAAAAAATGATGGGGGAAATATTCAACATAAACACGGATTTCACAAAAAAATACCAACACACAATATCTTGGATCTGATAAATACAAATTTAAAAAAAAAATTACCAAAGCTCTACAGTAAAAGAGAAACTTAGAAGTGAATGAGCCGGTTGCGCTAGTCACAGAATTGTGTTTTGATGATTTCAGATAATGGATCAGCAAAAAAGAATAAGATCAGTCTGAACACCGAGTTTTTACATCCCAATCAATATTCCCTCGCATCATATTATCCTTCATAAAACACGGCGTATGACATCATCCATCTTGGTAGTGCATACAATGGTTTCTTCCACTTTGGTTTCGTCTGTCTTGTTCGTCTGCAATCAATGTAAGTATCACGTTTTGAGAAGTCCAAAGTGGAAGAAACCATGGTATGGACTATCGTGATGGCTTAAATCATACACCATATTTGGGAGGTCCATATTTTGGTTAATATTAGGCACAGAAACTAAGTGTTTGGACTGACCTCATTATTTTTTGCTTTCCTATAAAGCTAAACGATCAAAACGCAATTTTGTGACTAGCATAATTAACCAATTGGTGAAATTGAAATGTTAACAGGTTTTCAAATTTATTTTTCTTAAGTTCAGTTCTAAAACTAAACATATTCCCCCAGAACTTAATTTATTTAAAAATAGGTGTTGGCTTTTTTCAACATATTAAATTGATGTTTTAGACAATACAGAGCTTCATGTTTCACGAATTATCAGATATTTACATAGAAAAAAGTATGAGAGTAGATAAATCATAGATTACCTACAAAAGGCCATCACATGCTGTGAGGTAGAAGAATCTATTTCTCACAAACGAATTCTTAATTGAGAAAAAGTTATGAGGCATTGTGAGCTTTGATATTGTACATCAATTTTTCAAGGGATAGTAAGTTATTCCTTAAATTTGTGTTGACATTGTAGAAAATAGAGAAGTAAGAATTGATTACAAAAAACTGTAACGATCTTCTAAATGGTTACAACAGCAGTTGTAAGCAAGTATGTAGCATATTCAATCTTTAAAGAGCATCAACCATATGCGAAAGGATCCTAAATGATTTATTAGGATTTCTTCACAAGAAGTTTTATGATAAACATGCATAACTTACTGCGAGAGAGAGCCGATAGAGTCGATAGATTTCATAAAAGCCCTTCGTCCGTGCAAGTAGATCATTGCCTCTAAAAAACAAAACAAAATAAATTAGGGGTATTATAAAAATATGGAGGTTACGTAAACATTGGAAAACGTTTGTATGACCTAAGAGAAGAAATGAAATGGAAAATGGATTTAAAAAAAATTCTGATGCTCAGATCTTCTTTCAAGGTTACTGCAATGATGGGTACATTTGCTTTACTCATGCGCAATCAAAATTGGAAGTGGTGTAAATTTTCACAAATGGGTAAAGAAATGCTGCTCACACAATCAGTGATATTTAATGCTGAAATTTCCAAAATATTATGCTGCGGATATTTGGGGATGTTGATAGACTTAAATTGCTTTGAAAATCCTAGAAACATTTTTGTTTGAATAATACCAAAATTTCAAAATTTAAATTGTCTATGGTTTTTTTTTCCTTCCTATTTTTTTTAAATGTCTATTATATAGCATAAAATAAGATAATAAAAAAAAGTTAAGATGAGATCTTACCATGATATGACATTGGCACAACTGTCTTTATTATCATAGGCGCCTCAAAGGTGTATTGGAAAGTATTTGTTGTTATAGTCTTTTCAGTCAATGGATTCAACACCTCCGCGACGACCAATATTTGAAACAGATTTTTTTCTGTGTATATTACCTGGAAAATAATAGCAAATTTTATAGGACTTATACTTCAACATTAAACAAGAAAACAAAGAATCAAGTAACTTAAAAGATCTGGTTTTTTCCTCTAAAATGGTACATATTTCGTTTCTGGGAAAAAAAACCTTGATTCAGTGAATATTGAGTTGATAAATATGATGTGGAGACTGCTAGTATCAAGTTTCAGCTTTGTCAAGAAAATAATGGTCGTGAAGCCATTTTCTATGAAACCTTGCCCTTTTTATCAATTTTTGATCATTCTAGTTTATGACCAGTCGAAAAGCAAGTTAATTCTCCGCCAAATGAAAGGCTGCAGAGTCAAATTATCTTTCTCAAGCGAATTCTACACCATGTGTCTGACAAAGAAAATCTGTCATTCGGGTTGGACAAAATTTGGACTCCTCCTGAAAACGGAATAATCTTGTTTTAATAATAAATATACCTATATAACATAAATAATGAACATAATAATGTTCTTCTTGAAAAGTTGAAAAGGAAGAAAAAAAATTATCGAGGACATCGGAAATAATCACCTGCGCTTGGAGTTGCAAGAGAGATCCAACTTCCACTGGGTTCTTAAACAAAATATGACTGATCTTTCGACATGTTGGACGGCCATGACTGAAAAAATGTGGAAAATGGGTTAGTAATCATGTGTATTGCAAACTTTCTCTTGATTATTTTCCCAGAAAACTTTACAGCCTTCTAAGGGCACAGAATCAACAACAAAAATTTCTCTAAAAAAGAGATCATCAATTGGAAAGACTTCTCTGCAGGAAGCCTTCAGTACTGTAGACAAACAAGAGGCTTTAATACTCACACAAATTAATTTCAAACATTCAAAGATGATTGAAGTTTCCCGTATGTATTTACATGAAACAAATCTCTATGTTGGATTGGGAAATGATGACAATAATCATTATAGGATTTAATGGATGATCAAGGATGGGATTAAGAATATATTTAGGATCCTGCTCCACCATGACTTTGCCTTTTGAATTACACTAAACTCAAAAATGACTCTTGATATGAATTCTAGCACAAGTGATGATCTCTGGCACTTGAAGGTCTTATAAAAGAAGAAAAATCCAGGGGAAAAAAATTAAAACTCACCAAAATTTATAACCACAGGTCCAAGCAAGTTCTACAGCCAGACGCATGAGGTATCCACCAAATACAGTGTTGTGCATATTGCGGTCCTATGAGCAATAAAAGGCGGATTATAATACTGCCCCGAGTTACTAAATTAGAAAAAAAGTGAAGAACAGTGGCTCAAAATGTCACCAAATGGTCTCTGTGGAGAGATGTTTGTTTCATGTGACATCTTGGAGTTCATTCGTTCAGAAGTATAGTACCAGGATCTGATTCAAACTCCCTTTAAATTTTCAGCCTTCACATGTAACTTGACTACTTCTTACAAAAACTTTGTTGGAGAATTATTGAGAATGAAGGTTAGAATGGACATTTTTTTATCATTTGTTCAAAAGATATTTTTGAATAGATAAACAACTTTGTTTACAAATAATTGTATCCAGGCATCTCTTCACATATGTATTTGTTCACCTCCTTAGTAACGAGGGTTCATTTAAGAGTAACAAAAACATGCGATCCATGGTTTCAGAATTGACATGAAAAAATTCGCGATCAACAGAAACAGGACAGAAGAAGCCACAAAATAAAAAAGTAGCAAGAGGTATGGAGATGCTGTAGACTAAAGGGACTGAGCAAGTACATTTCGTCATTTACCTCAGGATGTGAAACAATTGTTGAAGTCACTCTGGTATCTTCCATCCAGACTGAGCCAAGAGGGAGTTTTCGCCGATCTATACAAAAATCTTCGCCTTCTAATGTAGAGGTAAACGCAGTGTGTATAAGAGCTTGTTCTTCTGCTGTTGGTACTTTCTTAATAAGGGATTCCGTTTCCTCTAATCTCCGCTTCTTGGCACGACCTTTTGGTTTGTTAAAACAAAGGCATAAATACACTCACTCTTGTTCACTGTAAACGCACATATGAATTAGCAGTATAAATGACACTAAATTAGATGAATATTTTCCATGAATTTTTAGGATTATTTTAAAAAATTGGATCAACTCCTAAGAAAGTCTGATTAACAAGAGCATTTAGTTACCACCTAAATCTCCTTATTTCAATGTAAACATTCTAACTGATGACATCATGAACTGATAACCCAATTCGTCATTGATGATCTCAGGCATGTGCTGCTGTGATCATGTACACAGATTACGCATGAATTTTTTGACTGTGTAGAGCCCTGTCAGTAACATAATATTATACTGCAAATACACAATTAAAACTTTTGCCAAAACTTGAACTGGTTCCTTGGAGACTTAACATAACCGGTGACTATTTGATATATTGAACATTCCAAAAATCATCATTAAATTAGACGGAAATGGACATAATTTTGGCGAATGGATTTGGTCGAGTTTTTTGACCAGATCTGCATGGTTGCAAACAAAAGGAGAAAAACGCTTGGCTGAAGTCAAGAACTAAACTCAGTTGCTTGGTGAATTTTAGCCAATGTTTGCATCCACTCACACCACCTCGGGAGGTGGGTCGAAAATTTTGGATGTGGTCGTCATTGCTGCCAGCATGCAAACCAAATGTTATACGCACACCGTCATCGAGAGGGAATTTTGTTTTGCTTCATTGAGAAGGCAAAAAAAATTGTATTAATTGATAGAATCAATGAAAGTATCAGTTGAGGGACACTTACTTTCTCCATTCTTGAAAATTCTGAGTTCCCTTTCACCTTGCGGTTCAATTTTGTTGACTAAAGCTGATCCAGTGCGTATTGAGTTACGGCACACCATTACAAAAATTGCTCTGGTGATTCTTTTCCATGATTCCTCTATTTTTTGTTCCAACCACACTGTGACTTCTACACTGCTTTTTCCAACATAAGTTACTTGACCGGATATCTTAATGTCTTTTTTCGGCTAGAATGAGAAAAAGATATATTGAAAAAACTAAAATTTTCAAAAGAAAGAAATACTTTGCAATTAGAAACTAGAATGTCTGGTTCAGTCAAGAAAGGACATATGTACGATAAGTTTCCCTATGCACATCACTCGCACTCACCGAAATGAAAAATTCTTATTATATGTGTGCATGAAAAATATAAAATCAATTCAGAATTTTAAAAACCTTCTTCGGGGTGTCACTTCCTACGATTTGCTAGGACAGCCATTGCTCATAAAAAATCTGCATCAAAATGGATACAGTTACATTCAGACTGAACTGGCTAGGCTAGGATATAGACAATGCAGGTGTGGATGAAAACAAGCAACAGTGAAAAGAAATTTTGTCATTCAGCAAGCGTCTTCATATCCATGAATTATTCACCTGATTGTGAAATTTCCTCATATTTCGATATTGTTCGCATTTAAAGTTAATTCTGAGTTTTCTGCATTGAAATATATTCTTTTTATTGCATTTTATGCTTGTATTATCAACTCTGGAGATGAATTATTGATTAGAACGAAAACTCAACGTGAAGGGAAATAAACGAAACTGAAGTGATACAACGAAACAACACGTAGGAACACAAGAACACGTAATTAGTGTGAGCACTCACTAACAATGAGACAAAATAATCGTAAATCACCAAAAACAAAGTAAAATTTACCTTAGGCGTGATATCAGTGAAAGATACTTCATCAACCATAAGTGTTACAATAGTATAAGGGCAAGGAATATCAGCTGGAACATTGGGATTGTATAAGTGTTTCATCACAACAGATACTAGAATCAAAATAAAACAAATAATAAGGAATTATTATATCATGTTAAAATAACACATTCAGTGAAATTAGAACTAGAATTACCATAAATAATATGGGGTGAAAATAGTTATAGAGAAATAATTATTAATATAGTGCCCAATAGTTACATAAAGGACGTTTATGTCAGATGCATTTTATGTGCTGGGTACATCCTCAGACACATCTCAACAATGAAAACATTATTGCTAAAATTGATAAAAGCTAAGCTCTTGAAAAAGATCTTGATAAAAAGTCCAATCATCATACTAGGCGTATCTGATAGGCACACATAGCCGAAAAGGGGGTTAAAACCGCCCTGAAACGTTCCTGGTATCCTGTTGTGTTTCAGCTTTGCTTCTCCATTTTTTTTGGTGTAAATGTTTTCATTTAACTCATTGGATTACTTGGGTATTGTTCTTATTTTTGACATAATTGCTGAAAATCCGCATGATAACTGAATTTAACAGCCATCAGAATGCCACTGAGGATGTGTCTCTTGACAAAATAAATCAGACAAGAAGGTAAAATATCTCTGTAACACTCAGGCATTTAATGTGTTGATATTAATTTTAAAGGTCTACTAAAGTAGTTATAAACATGCAAAAACAAAAACAAAATATGTCTTTAAAAAACTGTCTGATGGTATTTTATGCGATTTTGTGATATATATTCTCAATCTCCTTACTGCTTCTTTAAAATTTTTAAAAAAACAAATTCATATTTCTTCTTTTTTCTTGATTCAATAACTTCAAAGGTGCAGAAACAAATTTTGAACAAATGCACTTCATAAGTCTTCAACAGAATTCATTGAAAGTCCATATCTGATTTTTTTTCTTAAATTTCTTGCACAAATAGACTATGAGAAAAATACCTTTCACTTTCTTTGGCATTCGTGACAAGATATTTCTAATAACATTCTAAATGATATTTGGAAAGAGATTCTAATGGAAAGAGATTTTTCTAAATTAGAGCTATGACTATGGAAAATAATGTTTACCAGCAAACAAATCTAAATCTTCCAACAAGCGTCCAATTCGCACAAATCCAAGGGAAGTCACATATTTCTCTTGCAGTTGAACATCAGAACTAAGGGGTATAACAGCAGCTTGGAAGCTATCCTGTGATATAAACATATGATAATGAAAGTCTTTTTTGAAGATGATGGTATGATACTCGATAAAATAAAAGGAAAAAAGAAAGAAATGATATAAACCATACGATTACCAAGATGAAAATATATGAGTTCCTGACTTAGAAACTGACCAACCAATAGTTGAAGAAGGATTTCAGAAAATAGAATTTTAATCAAGGTCACAATGAAGTGAAGAAAAACTTGGTTTAAATAGTTTTTTGATGACTTTGTACGACTGAAATCATTCTTTTGAACCGCAGATAATACAGCAAAGCTTCCTATTTTTATCGAGTACACTACAGTAAGTATGTTTACTAAAATGAATGATTCTTTGACTTGCTAGCACTTGGGACTTGGGTTTTCTATCGGCAGAGAATAGACAATGAGTTAGGTACTCAAAAAGCAGAAAATGTTAGTTACATTTGCTGTCTGAACACAGAAACCTAAATAGCGCTTTGGACCTTTAAGAATGATCGGAATCATAAAAGTAGATAAAAACTGAAATTTTGTAAAATTAAACATTAACAAAGATTTAGGGAAAAGCCTTGTGCAGATTTCTAGCCTTAGAAGCCATGTGAAAACTTTCCAAAATTCAACCGGGGTAATGGTCATATCTTAGAGGTCATCTTGATGAGTGAAGCACATTCTCTAAAAACATGTCCGCTCTGCCTGGCCAACTCTGTTGATTGCAAAAAAAAGTAGGAACGTAGATAATCAGCATTACAAGATTGGTGCAAATCTTGATGTAATTCAAAAAAAGAGTAGGCTGCTGTATTACTTATTACTATTTTTTCGGTCACACATTTTCTGCAGATTATAACATTTACCTGCATTGCCCTTGCTGGAATCTCATCTTGGGATTGAGGGAGATACTTTAAGAGCTGGCTCTTATCTTCTTTAGGGATGAGAGAATATCCAGGAGATATTCCCATTTTTTCGATCAAATTCAATCGAACTGAAAAAACCATAAGAATACATCACTGTTGCAGAATATAAAATATACAACATAGATAATTAATGAATTTATGAATGAAACAAATAAATCTCCTTCATGCCATGATATCCAAAAAAGTAATCATAGGTACCCTTATCAAAGGTCCATCTAGGCATAAGCAATATAAATCACTGTTCGAGGCAGAAATTGTTAAAGGTCAACGAAATAAAAAAGTGGAGGGGGCAGTTTTCAAAACCTTTTTCTTTTTTGCTTTGTTCTTGTAGCATCAACTTTGTATTTATGTAACATGTATTATTTTGAATAAAAATAAACTATTTATCTATCGATCAACAAGCCTCTGCCGTAATTTTTGAAAAAATTCAAAATTTGATTCAAAATCATAAAAGACCTTAAATGAGGGGCTTGGAGGACAAGGCACATAAGTGCAGTTCTTGCTATTTCGAGAAACACATGTTTGATTTTTCGAAATTACATGAATCCTTATGACAGAAAGAAAGTTCAAACTGATTTTTACATGCTGAAAATTTTGAATTTGGGAATGAATTTTTCACAGAATTTGTATTCAGACTAGTTTTACTTAATATCATTAGTACCTCAATTTTTTCAAAAATTGCACTTATGAATCTTGTCCTCTGAGCCCCTTAAATATTATGGCTCTTGAACAAAATTATTTGGCTGCAACAACTCAAAAAAAAAAAATTATAGCACCTTGGTACAAATTATGCCACCGAGCAACTTCTATCATCATGGAAAGGATAGCATGATTGAGGGACCCCTTGCATTAAGAAGAAAATATTGAAAGCGGTAGTAAATTTCTTAGATGAATCATCTATTAAACTATGCTGAATGCCAAAATAGTTGAAAATCTCATTAAAATGGCAAGAGAGCAGATCCAATCGTTACTAAATACCGAAGGTGCCAGTCATAAACATGTATTTTCTGTTTTATTCTAAAAGTTGATCCGATCGTTTGGTAACTCAAGGTGATACTTAAAATGTCATACAGCCGTACACAAAAAGAAAAGGCTCACTTTCTTGCAGTGTGGGAATTTTTTCCTCATCAGTCTCGGCACCAGCGCTGGAGGATGAAAAAAAAGAGGCAGGCCCTCCTGAGGTAGATCTGGAATTTAAAAAACAAAGAGAGTAGAAAAAAGCAGAGAAAAACCAATGAATGTTTACAGTTCTGAAAGAGGACAAAGACAGCTGATGGGCAGGAAAAAATGGAAACTATGCTTAATTTGTCTGATGCACTTCGATTAGCGAACTTGAGAGTAAAATTTTGGGAAACACAATAGGCTAAGCCATCAGAGTAAAGTCTAAAAAAAAGCACACTTCTATTCAATACATACTATAAATTATTCTGCGCACCTCATACTGATGTGCAGATCCTTTGTTTCCCAAGAGAAGTTATAGTTACATTTTTTTTCAAAACATCCGATCTTACAGAGCTCTTATGAGACATTTTTTTGCATTATTTTTGCATTTATCTGTGATTCACTAATACAGGTTAATGCGTTTGAATTTTAACTGTAGAAATGTTGATCCTCGTCATATAGCAAAATTACGTTCGCTCAACTTCGTTCAAGGTTAAAAAGTAGGCGAAAACAACACTACAAGAAATGGTATTTTCAGCGAATTCCAATCTACTTCTGCAGATGACTGACTTTAAAAATAGATAAGCAGATTTTAAGGAGGTATGTACTTGTGATATGGCATTATCCTACTTACTTTGTGGCATATTTGGAGGCCCGCAAAATATCACGAAGACTGCATAGCTCTTTATGCACGACAGGTGCTGAATAAAAATTGCGTGAGACTAACTTAAAAAGGAACATTTTTCGATGCAACATGATTGACAGATATTATGGTGTTAAAATCATGATACAATTACGAATATCATAGTTTACTATCAAATATTCAGCGCCCCAAAGAGAACAAAAGTGAAATGGTCGAACAGGCAGTGACAAGATAATAACAACAGAACTGATGATAACACTATCAGTAAAGAATGACGTCATCATTCTCCACTCACCGAATACGTCACGATTGAACGATCGATACACTCAAATCAACAAAATGCGCAGTATTGATGGCAACGTCGCCCCATTTCTTTATCCTTGTTAGTTCTAGCAACTTCCATTGCTATATTTTGCGACTTCGGAGCAATTTTTTACGTTCTTCGTCCTCGTCCTTTTTGTGAAACGTTAACGTGTCACTTGTCAGTCTTAAATCTTAATAAACCCTCGCCTCGTTATTTTATCGATTAGTGTCCCTTTCTGTCCTGCCTGCAAGTGTTTTCACATCCAGTGAAAAAATGTTCGGATCCATGATGGGAGGATTCGACATGGGTATGGGATTTGACGATGACGATATGTTCGGGTGAGCACAACATAATATCCAGTACTCTTTAGCTCTTAAGGCGTTCTGTAAAGGATTGCAGTCCTACCTCTCATCCTTGATCCATTTTCCACTCCACAGCATCGATTTATGTACCCTCAGTCGGCTCGTTTCATCTCGCTCTCAGCTAGCTTTGGTTTATCTGATCTATCATTCTGATCCATCCATGTGTTCGTTTTTCAGACATTTCAAAGGTTCCAACAATGTCACAGTTTGCTAGGAAAATGCTCACTGTAAAACCTCTGACAAAGCTGATGAACCAAGTAGTACAATCTTACCTTATTGGCATTGTCTCATCTGTTAAAGTCGGCCCATCTGGCGCAGTTCAGTGACCTAACTGAATCCATTTTATGAAACTTGGTTCTTTAACTGTCATCAAGAGTTTCTGCTCTCCAAAGTCAAGCATCGAAAGGCTCAAGAAAATCTTAGACTTGTGTGAAGTTTGCACTGTCAAAGCTCCAGGGGCTAGAGCGTTAAGAGAGCTTTATAAGAGCATTCTACAGTCTGCCTCTTAAACTTGTCTTTTTTTGATCTTTGCAAAGAGAATTCCGACAGTGAAGAAAGACAAGTTTTCCGCCATGGACTGTTCCCCGTTTGCTTGGATGGGCCTTGAAGTGGGAAATGTGATCATTCTTGATTGTCTCTCAAACTCAGAACGGAACCAGACGGCCCTGTACTGCTGAAAAATATTAAAATGAAAGTTTGCATGTAAGAGGGACCAGTAATGTTACTGTCAGCTTTGAGAATATGGTGTGCGGTTTAGTATTTTCCATCTCTCATGACAATATTCAACTCCTGCTTATTGTTGCGACGGATTTCAGTATTTAATTCAAGTACATAAAGTCTGTTTGCAATTTTTCACGAGGATTTCTTGTATACAAGTTCAGCCCATTACCTTACATTTCTAAATCTAGTTAAATTACAGTGAACTTTTCTGCGACAGTAGGAATGCTTTGTTTATATTATGTTTTATTTTTTCTGCTTGGTGTACTTAGATGGCAAAATTATTGTTCATTCAACTTACTGATTCATGATATTCTCTCTTGCAGAAACCCCTTCAGGCAAATGAACAACATGATGAACTCAATGCTTGCAAATCCATTTGGTGGAATGTTTGGGCAGAACATGCTCATGGATCCTTCTCAACAACAGAGACGAGGCCACCACAGGAATAATGATATGATGATGCCTTTCGGCGGAATGTTTGGAGGAATGCAACAACTCATGTCTCAAATGAATACTGACCCGAACTGCCATTCCTTCAGCTCCAGTTCTGTAATGACAATGACCAGTGGCCCAGATGGTCGGCCGCAGGTTAGTCACATAAACTCACGCTTTTAGTCTCCTAAAGACTTGTGCTATATTTTTATTATGAAAGCGTAAACCCTGTGTCATTGTTTGTGATGTTACAATGTACCCATCACATTTTAATTTTCTAGAAAAGGCCCATTCATCATTCCACCTAAAATTTTATTTTACTTTTTCTTGCTTTTTCTACAACATCCTCCGAAAATCTTGTGCTGAAGCGTCGTACAGCATTTAGTTGAGGAAATCAAATATGAGCAGAAATTGTTGAACGCGACAATCAGAAATGTAATGAACTGTGTGATTGTTAAATCATTGCTTGTATTTTCATTTTCTTGCATTTGCATATTTTTTTAATGACACTTTGAGTATACCAACTGATTTGCACCTTTTATTTATCTAGGTTTTTGAAATTTCCCCACTGTATAAATCAGGGAGAACACTAATGAAATGACCTGCAGGTCAGCTCCATGCCTTCGAAAATACTCTATTTCTATTCTTAAGAACATAGTTCGCGCACTTTTAAAAAGACTGTGCCGCTCATCTGAATTCTTTTAGCTCCAATCCCAGAAAGTACTGCTTGATAGTCCATCTCGCAACTGGTAAATCGCCTGTTGGTAGAATATTCTAAAGGGAGTGCCTGTCATATTCTGATATAACTCACAACAGTGGCGTAGACCGAGGGGGGGTGTCTAGGGGTCTGGACCCCCCCCCCCTTAGCCTCGTCGATTGCGCCATTTTTTTTACTCTCGGAGGGTAGACATAATGTATTATCAGGGACGTACACAAAATAATGTAAATTTACCATATCGTTTTTAAATGCCCCCCCCCCTCCTTAGAGAATTCCTAGTTACGTCACTGACCCGCAACAACATTCATCTTCAGTTAAAAGCGTCCACCTATCAACACCTGCTTACCTCATGTAATATCCAGGTCATGTCTTTCTGTAAATAGGTCTATCAAGCATCCTCATCCACGCGGCAAGGTCCAGGGGGCGTGAAAGAGACAAAAAAGACACTGTGTGATTCAAGAAAAGGTATTAAAAAAATGCAAATTGGCCACCACATTGGGGAAAGAGCTCATGTCATTGAACGAGAGCAAGACTTAAATTCAGGACAGCAAGAAGAAAATCAAGAATTCATCAACCTTGAAGAAGGTATGCCACTCCTGTATACATGCAACAAGTTTTTACAGTATGACAGTTCACAGATTCTTCAAAAATTTGACATCTTAAAAAGTTAAAACTGATGATCTTAGTATTTTACTTTTAATGTATATTATTGGCCCTTAATTCTACTAGCATTTGAATTTTTCTTTTTACATCTATATGCTTTAAATACTCACATGAAACTTTTTTATATAATGAAAGCCTGTATGTACGTGCCTTGAAATATCTTCATCCAGAAGTGCAGAATCTTTTAAGCTTTGAAGTTTTTGCAAGCCTGCCTGCTAGCTCAAAATTTTACATTTGGCTTTCTAAAAACCTTCCCTAAATTTCATAAATAAGGGCCTCATACTATTGATTTTCGACTTCTGACCCTTGAAAATGGCCCTACTTCCACAATTTTAAGAGCCTTCCCACATTTTTAGCGCCTGGGCAGGCGTTTGATCGAGCTTTTTCTGCCCGCCTGTTTTCATCTACCTACATTCTATAAGCCTTATTCATAATCCAGTAAGTGAGTCATTCAATGATCAAGTCATACCTAAGGAGCCCTCAGCCAAAAAAAAGCTCCCGTCTTTTATAAGCTTCTGTTGAAGTTAAAAAATCCCTCTACCCTCTCCCATTGACTGGGAAAGGTAGTATTCACTAAGTAACTTTTTCAAATTTACACAACGTATTAGTAAAGTCACCAAAGTATGAATAGAAAAAGAAACTGAAGTTTAATCTCCTCTCCTTCAGATGAAGCCGACTCATTCAACCATGAATGGATGCAAAAAACTCAAAGGTACTCCCGCAGAGGACAGCATGATGCAATTGGCTATGGATCCCCAAGGCATCATCGTCACTCAAATGGACCTCAACTTGCTCTTCCTTCCAGCACATCCCATAGGTAATAGAAAATAACTATTAACTATTCTCTCTCTGTAGATTTCCTAATTTTTAGTCTATTAGTGGGAGAGAGTTAATACATTCTTGAGTTTTGTAAACAATTGTGCTTCAGTTCAAGAGAAGATTGAAGTTTAATAATAACTGAATATATCTTCTATGACTGATAGAAATAAAAAAAACTCCGATCAAGGCTCTGTAAATCACGTCCTTCCTTTTACAGATGCCTCATTTGACCCTTTTCCATCCATCCTTTTTTATTTCCTTTCAACCAATTGTTCGTTCTGTTATAAGACCCTCTCAAATATTTTAAGTTTCTCAAAAGATGAGTTTATTGAATGTATCACTGGTTTTCAGGTACAGGAACTGAATTTGTGATATGAAGCTTTTAACACCAAAATGGACCTTTTCAAAAGTATACTCAGAAAATTATAATCCTTTGATGAACAAATTCCGAAAACTTTCTCCCAAGATTTGAAGAAGGAACTATTTTCAAGAATCTTTTAAAACAACATTTAGAACCCTCACCAATTAAAGTCTCTGGAAGTGAACCCTCTCTAAGTATCTAAAATTCAAGTGAAACCTAGGTGACACAATTTTTTGAGTTCAATTGAAGTTGAAATAAAACAATTATGATGGAGTTCTCCCAAACTTTTTTTCTTTGCAAATCCATCTATTCTGTAAGCGAGTATTTACTAAAGCTTACCATGAGCCAAAATCTGTGTCACGTTTAAGTAATGAAGCTTACATAAGTTATTTGACCCCCTTGCCCAGTAGATATCTTCTAAAAATTTAAAATGAATCCTTAAAAAAGGGATCTCTAGTTGATGTTAGTATCAATCACAAAAGCTTATCTGTGCACCTGCATTTTTATAGCTAACTAACTGTTTTTAAACGATAGCATCCAAGCACCAAAGGCCTTGAGTTAAATAAATAAGGCACTTTTTGCGCATGGTGCCTATTGGATTTGAAAACTGTTGGATTAAAAGCACCTTTCTTTGCTGCTGTAGAAATGGAAGTTATGGATACCCACTTTGTGTCCATATCCCTTTGTTGAACACGGAAACTTTCTTTTCTTCCATCATGTCGTAATTGCATCAGTGGCGAGGTGTTGCATGTCCATAAACATGGATTCATTCCTGATTGCAGCGTTTTCGTGTCAGTTAGTTTGAAGAAGAATGCTCAAATGATTTCTTTTTCAACTGTGCAACACTGGTTGAATGGTTTTTCCCACTCCACTGTGAAAATAATTGGTTAAAATAAAGAATATGTAAACTCATTTTAGCTTTTAAAAAAAAACCAACTTGGGTCTGAATCAATTGCTGAGCTTTAAAAAGGGAGGGAAGGCAAAGAATTGTTTTAAAGTATACGTTCTGAAATGACTGCGATTTTGAAAAGAATAAGCAATGTAGGAAAAAGAAGGTAAGTCAAACATCTAGGAAAGAAGAGAAATTACTCAGATTTTGACTTACAGTTTACTGCGTGTAATTCAATCATTCTAGAACTGTTGGCCAGGAGGGAGTTGCAAATAAGAGAGTTGTATTGCCTTTCTTCGATTGATAGTATACTAATCTCTGGCCTAATTGTTTCAATAGGACTGTTTTAAATTAAGTTGGTTAGGTGCAGACGCGTGTTGAATGTAACTATAAAAAAAAAAAAAAAAAAAAAAAAAAAAAAAAAAAAAAAATACCACCCTAAGTAATTTTGAGTTTCCAGAGTTGTGATAATAAACCTAAAATTTTCTCCCTGTAAAATAGAATGGGATGCATTTCGGAACTTGCTGTGATCGGATGTAATCCAACAAGATGTAATTCCCTAAAATTGGGTTACCACTTTTTATGCAACTGTGACTTCTCTGCCAGGAATTAAGATTTCTCGATTTATTAATCACTGCAAACAACCACTCAGTTTTACAGGTGCACATTCAGCTGTTCCTCTTTGAGAAGCTTTCATTAACTGGAAGGACTCTGCAAACTCCTTATGAGGCTGTGTGCTGCTATTGATTTCCCATTTTTTTATTGCATCAAAACTCTTTTATGAATGCTGATCAAAAGTCATCTCTGTGCCAACTAAAGGCTGTGAACATTGAAAAACGCAACGCAAGTCTGTCTGGTGAGGATGAGATTGGGAGAGAGAAAGAAATTGATTTGGATGATGAAACAAAAAGGCGTGCGGAATCTGAGATAAAACTGCCGCTCCATGGTTGTGGCTGCAGATCACAATGCACTTAAACGCACTGGGGTTTTCCTTGTTTGCAGCTATGTAGCTCGTCCTGGAGTGCTAAAAGGAAGAGGGGTCTCTTTGACTCTTCATTGCTGCTCTGCCTCCATTTATTAAAAAAATTATCGAAACTTCAATCGCGGAGTGTGCGAAAACAGTGGCGTGTAGGAAGTTGGCGCAAAGATTATTTTTTGTCAGCATTCATAGACGAGTTAAATGCAATAAAAAATAATGGTAAATTGATAGTGGCACACAGCCCCACAAGGAGTTTCTGGGATCCTGTACGTTCATCAAGCTTTACCTCATCTCCATTCTGGGCTAATGATCCATCTAACCTATGTATTTCTTTCTTTTGCGTCTATTGACCTCTCTTTCTGTCTCTCTTTTGTTTCTTAAAATGAGAAAAAAAATTGCCTCTTAACCCCTACACAATTCTCCTGCTATATTTATCACTTAGATTTACCAAGTCTCAATGTAGATTCTATATCTAACCTACATTTTTGGTGTCAAGTAAAAATAACAAAATATATTAATTCCCTTGTTGCGTACTGGAAAGAGCTGGCTTTAGTGACAAAGAAGGTAGCTGAATACTGCTGGTCTTAATTTGTTCTATTATTTTATGTCCTTCCCTCTTGTTTTGAGAAAATGTACATGCAAAAAGTTAGAAGAAAGTATCTACCATTCGAACGTCATTATTGCAAAAAGGAGTCTCAGCCCAGGGAAACATATCCTTCCTCTTTGTAAGCACCCATTTTATATGCACTGAAGTGCTGAAGTCGAATTGAACTTCAAGCTACAAACCAGAGAGGCATCCTTGGAGTAACCTTGTATTCATTTGGATGCATTAGTGGTACATTTTTTATGTCAGTGCCTGAAGGTCGTAGGTAGGCAGCCAGTGAAACAGAGATGATCATCTATTTAAGGTATTTACCTCAGAACTTTTTTTAAGGTAAAATCCGTGGATATATTATTCATCATCCGGTCAAACTTCATGACCAGGTCGCCAAAAAATCATGCTGGTGGATGAGATCATGAAGTAAGAAAGATTACAGAATATAAATGATCTTTTTACCCTTATTTTTCGGCGGTTGTTTTTGTTGTGGTTTCCAGCAATCTGTAGGTTTCTTGATGAGATCAGTTGCTCGTATCTAATATGTAGATGTTTTCTATTTGATCTCCTTCATCTCCTTCTTCATCTCCTCCCCTAAAAATCTTGAAATTATTCAAATTATTGGGGATAACTTCAAGTGCGCTGGCCCATCAAAAAAGACGAGAACATAAGCAATGCTTAAAAGCTACAAAGCTCCCAGTTTTTTTCGTCAAGATGTGACCCTCTCCTCCTCTTTCAATTATCTATCGTGTGGTTGATCGTCGTGCACGAAGTTCATCTTTATCATGTTTTTGGAATTGAACAGTTCTAACTGAACTCAGCAGGGTTTCTAATACACACAATGAGCTCTGCATCTTTTTTTTATCCTAACGGTTGCTTGTAGATGCTTAAACTTGAGCGTATCCTGTTTTCAGGTATGGCCGTGATTATTGATGTGTTTGTTGACTGTTGACTAATAAACCATCTTATTAGAAGTAAGTAAGTTAGTTTGTGGTTGTGTCGTTAAATTGTTCATAGCCCGGTTTTTGAGTTTTGTATTGATTTACTTCTCAAATCCTTGAGCATTCTTGCGTTTATAGTGAAGGGGAGGGTTGATAGCAATGATCCTTTCACTCATTTTTAACTTTCGATCAAAGCTCTTCGTTCTTTTATTAAATTATGAGGAAATTAGCATCGTAGTTAAATTATTACGATCACAAACTGTAAAAATGGCCCGGTCAGGTAACTTCTGGTAAAATATTAAGGGCTATGTATCATCCCCCCAATAATATTCTTTTTAACTAACAACTATAAAGCTAGTGTCTTGTCACTTGATTTTAGTTCCTATTGCAGTTTATATATCACCGCAAAGCTTTTTTTAAGTTAGGAATTGCATGCTGTTTACTTCCTCTCTTTCATCAATTCTTCACCAACGAATAAATGAACCATTCACAGCGCCATAATTAACTTTGACTGATCTTAATCAGAAGTTCAATGATAAAGGTGATCTCCTCAAATTGGACAGTGGCAATTCGGACGTTGCTTTTAAATTGATGAGAAGTTGTAAGGAATAGTTACTTAATGTTCTCATGTATGTTCGAGTGAGCTTCCCCATGACTTGTCGAAAAATACTGTTGTAGCAGAGTGGCTTCTGCTAAATATCTGCCTTACTCAGCACAGTTCTCAACAAAAAGAGAGAGAAATCGCCTAGACCTGAGCCTATCGGAAGAGGATTTTTATCTTTGAAAGGGTGCACAACCAGCCAAATAGTGTAAAGTTAAACAAGACAATGTTGCACTTTCTGTAATGCACATTTGCAGTTCCCTTTGTGCTCTCATATACCTTCTTTTATCATACGTGCATGCCTTGCCTTGGTTTGCCTCACTTGAAACTTGTTCATGTTTCAAGAAATTAGTCAGATACTTGAATCATTAACACTGAAAAAAATAGGGTTGGTGAAAAAGCAAGTCTAGCATATCGTTTGATTAACACAGCGATTACTGCAAAAAATGCAGCTTGTCAGTGCACTGCACTTCTTATCGCACTATTTAGCAAGCATAGGTCTATCGCATTTTTTGAACAAGAAGTCTGATTTTGTTGTCTATAATGCATTGAATTTGCTTAGGATTTATTGGCTTTTTGCTTCATAACACTTGTTTTCATGTATACCCTAATGTGGGGTGATCAGAATTTTTTTCTTTAAATTCCTGTGATGGAAAGCTCACTTTATACTGACGTGTGTAACTTGAACAATCAACTACGTAACAATTTCCTTGCTACGTCAGTATTGTAATAATAAATCAATCTAGCAAAAGTTTGCAAAGTGCACAGTAGTTTCTTGTTTAGTGTCCTGTGCATTTTCTCCTCATTTGATACGCCATTCTCTCTTGCTCACTCTCTGTGTGCACATTTTGAATAGGTTATCTCATCATTATTATATCATTAATTTCATTCGCTCATTGTAATTTTGGTGCCCCAGTCCGAAACTTTCTAAAAATGAACTTTTTCAGCTGCCTTGGCACCTATGTTTGACAAACCCTCACAATTTAACTGGACGTGTTCAAGGTTCTCTACTCAATATTTCCTAAGAGAACCAGAAGTCCCCTCCAATTTCCCTGCATGCAGATGTTACCTCAATGATAGCTATTGACATTTTTGGCAGGAATGTGTATGTAGTTGAGAGAAGAAGAACAATAATAGCACATTCTGTAGGTAATTAAGTCTTTCAACTTTTCCCTGATTGTTCCGAATTTTACTCAATCATTAAGACTCAATTAGTTAGTTTTAATTATTTCAAGCTCCCAATTTTTCCTCCCCTTTCTCTCTCTCTCTCTCATTGGCATTCAAATCCTACATTCAAACAAAACATTTCTCTCCTACATTCAAATAAATACTACAAATTAACCCTACAAATTACTGTTTTTAAAAGTTTAATAACCAATAGAAATGTCTTATTGACGGCCTTTATCATGCCTCATTTTGTCAATTCAGACCTTTAAAGGAATTATGAATTTTTTTAACAACTTACTACTTTCATATCTTCGTTTGCTAGTATTTTTACCTAGGGAGTGTAAAATGAAGATTCCATTAAGGGTGAAACTGGCCCCTCCCTTTTTGCTTCGGGCGATTTTGGGATCCATCCAAGCCCATATTACCCTTTGACAGAAACAAGTTGGTTTTTTGACAATTTACTTTAATTATGAAATATCACTAATAGTATAATAGGTAGCAGTCTAAAATGGTCAGTTTCGATGGTTAGCTGCCGTTTCTGAGTACATTCACGATGAAAATCTGTTAATATCATGTCTAAGCTGAAAGAATTATATAAAACTACAAGGGTTTGTTATTTTAAAATATTTGTAGCGAATCAACCTGACCTTGTAAAGTGATGCTACCCTTCTGGGAAGAGATTAATTTCGTCCCTTGTCCGAATATATCCTCCAATTATTCTGCGGTTTTGCGTACTTTTACCTTAGAGATTTCAAAATGTGGATGTAGAGAACTATTCTATTAAATTAGCTTTCTAATTTCATATTTTGTCTCGTTTTTCAGGGAAAGAAGCGTGGAAGACCGTGATGATTTTCATCAGGGAGGCGTGGAAATTACTGAAGTTACGGAGGAGCCAGATGAGAAAGAAGAATCCGAAATTAACGAGCCATCAAATATCCTAGAGCCCGGAGACCTCAGGCGGAAACGTGATCACGATCATGAAGATGTGCCTGCAAGAAAATCAAAAAAATCCACAAAGAAACAAAAATAAATCGCTGAACTTTTCCTATGATCTAATCTATCTGTGAGAATATCGTGTAAGTTATGTGCAAATCCCTCTCTAGTCCGTCATAGTTGCAAGTACGGACTATCTCTAAAATTTTTGATAAAGCTTGAAGTGAAAATTGTCAGCTGTGCTGGAAAAAGTCTCGAAGTTATTACTTCAAGTCCTGACAGTATGATTCTCTCCCCCCCCCCCCCCCCNATAATTCAGTCGTTCCAATGAACATTTTGAATTTTTTTTATCTAAACAACATAAGTCACATCATGGCTAAGACTCGTTAAAGCCATCACTATGAATGAAAACCATGAACTATATCTAAAGCGAGCTTGCAATGGGCTAGAAACATCCAAAAGCTTAAGATACTTAAACGGATACGTTTTTACTGTTTTTGGTCACTTCATTTCAATAGTCTTCTCAGTGCATGGCCAGCCTCTTTGGAATCAAATTTCTCACTCATCTCTTCAGGGTTTCCCAAATTGAGCATGTCATACCTAAAAAGCATTGCTGTCCAATTTCTTTAAAGTGCTAAATTCCCCCCCCCCCAACCCGAGTTGGCTCAAGTTGACATGGTGTGCGACAATCTTTGGATTTAATTACAAGAGGCTTATCTTTTTGGAAAAACAAAATTCGTACAAAGTACCAATTTTAAATTAGTGGAGGACAAGTGGGTTTCTTGCAATATAGCTGCACCAAATTCCTGCAACAGAAACTCTCAGATTTGAACTTATCTTCAAACACGTCGTAATAGTGATTTGTAGAAAGTGAATTCCTTGTCGGAAAGTTATACATAATGAGTATCCTTCTAATAAATGGTTTATATTTTATTATTATTATTTTTTCTTTCAAATTATTTATCGTTATAAACATTGTGTTCAAGATGCTTTCCTTATATTGGAGTGTCTATCAAACATTTCTAGCTTTCGTACTTTTTTCTTTTATTATTTTTATTTGCTTTTTTTTTTTTTTTTTTACTTTTACGATACTTTAATGCTGATTAACATTATTCTGATGGTTAGATATTGCAGGTTTTTGGTTTTATGTCATTAATAGCTATGTCTTGTCTTATTTTTTTTTCTGTATTTTCGAGGGAGTTCAAAAATTCAACCAGGAGAAATTTTGAGACTACAACCTTATAAACATAGGAGTGTAAAGGATAACATGTCACAAAATTAATTAACACTTCAAAATACCTAGATTAAAAGAAGGAAAAGTTTTGTATTCTTAGCAATTTACAGCTACTCTGTCTGTCAAGTAAGTTCCTGAACTTCTTAAATTTCATGCATCAATCGGTAGAGCTAGTTATTGATTTTAGAACTCTCCACCTTATTGTCTTGGTCAATTCCACCTCTCCATCTCATTCCATTTATCTCTCTAATTAACCCCACAACAGGGTTCGAATGAAACATCTGAAAGGCGCTTGTTCATGTGACCTCATCAAAATCCAAGCAGAACATATTGATCATTTCGATAACTTTGAAAATCATGTCATAAGTGAAAAATTTGCGTTTAGAAGTTACATCGTAAATAGTAAATACTAACTTCTTGCTCGGTAAAAAAATCTATGCAGGTCAAATCAGCCATTCAACAATAACCTTTACGTCAGGCAAATGACTGGAGTATGGTTTCATACAAATTTCCCTCTTCTGATATAAGGCACATCTAATTTTATGAAAAGAAAAAAATCAGCACACGAGAAAATACTTCTTTCAAAAAGTATACTGAAATCAGTTTATGCTTGATTTGACACTGGTTTTTCATGAGTGGGAAGCGTAGATTCACATACATACAAAATGCTATTTTCTTTCCTATAAATTGAATTTGGAAAGTTTCTGTTCGTCTGTTGTATTCAGCGTAAAACTTTGTCAAGAAACATGTATTGCGGTGTTTAATTTTGAATCCTGTCTAGTGGTCCATTAAAATTATTCCTGAATTCCTCGCATCCAAGTTTCCTTCAATTTATCTCCACCATCTTTAGCATTCAGCTCATGTTAAGTTTGTGTTGAATATGTGGCAAACAGCTCCTCTAGAAATAAGCAAACTCTATCGTGCAAAGGTTTACTGTATCAAGAATGGAACATGGTCTATTTTCCATGCTGTCTGTTTTTTTTCCTGTGACTTTTGCGCCAAGCATGTAAATTTTGTTTTTAAATCATGTGAATACGAAACTTTAGTGGGGTAACTGAATATCTCTAACTTTTCTTTTAATAATTTTTGTAAGTTTCCGTATGCAACCAAATCAAAGCCCCTTTACAGTCTTGCAATCCTACTTGACAATTGCTCGGAAAATCTGTTACTGCAATCAATGCAATTCATCCAGAGCTGTTTAGATTAGTGGGGGAAATAAGTGGTTCAGCAGGAACTAGGTTTGGGGTTTACGCTTAAATTCTTTTATTAAGTGAGAATAGTCGCCCCTTTCATTAGATGTTTTTAGTTATTATTTGTCACAATGAAATCAGTCCAGTTTTGAGTGCCTACATGCCCCTTTTCCTCAGAAACAAGGCAACTGATGCTGTTCCTTCCTCTGCAACCTTTTATTGAGTTTCTCTTCATTTGTGTAGAGCTGCATCAGTAAAGAAAGTAAGCCCTGTATCAATCACTAGTCCATCGCACCTTTTTTTTTCTTCTTCCTATTCCATTCCTCTTCACTATTTTCCTTTGCGAATCCTGTCAACTCTGCCAAGGGTTTTTTGCTAGTCCTGGCAGTTCCAGAAATCAACCTTTCTACCTTGACTAGCAATGTGTATTTATTAAAATAGGCTTATTCAAAATAAATTTCAGTAATGTATCTATGTTACTTTAAGGTGAAAATAGTTTGATTTATAATTTATGATTATAGTTTATGAATAAATGTAAAATCACTAGTTGCGTACATCTTTGATTTTCTGGATAGCTTATTACCCTAATTAATAATGATAAGGATTTTTTTAATCTATTAATATCAGCTGAAAGTAATTCCAATCACAAGTTTTCGTTGAATAAAATTGCCTCTGGGCAAACAATGGAATCAGAATTTAATGCATGTCTTTCCAGGTAGATCTACAGTACAATTACACAGAAAAACGATTTTAAAATGCATTGCTCATTCATTACTGTCCGCATTTTAAGACTTGTTCAAGAATTCCTGAAGGTCGAACGATGCTGTAGTACGTCAGGTACCAACACACAAAACTTGATAGGAAAATGTACTTGAAAAGAACTTGGAGAAAATCGTCCCACTGAATGTCCTAAATCATTTTGACTTAGATTTTGCGATTTTCACTTGGGGCGTTCTTCCTCATAGAGGAAAAAAAGGAGGTGTTAGCATCTTGAAGATTGTTTACCCCAAGACGTAGGTCAGTCTAACATGACCAGCAAAATTTGGAATTGGAACTACGAAAAACGGACCATAACGTCTGACTTTTTCCTTAAATCACCTCATGTTGAATCTCAAACACTTTATGTATAATGACTTGTTTCCTTAAACTACACCATTTCCAAGAAAATCGATGATGAAAATCGTCTGAACCAACCTAAGTCATCAAAATAATCCAGGACATCCGAAATGCGAAGACCTCCTTTCTTCTCTCTATGATACTTTCTGATTATTTCAAATTATTTTCTGAATCTTTTGTGTATTAATATCTGATACAGAATAGCATGATTTGAATTTTAGGGCTTTAAGAAAATGTTTTGTAAATTTCAAATGATCAATGCATTAATCCACTTTCATGGTGAAAATCATTATTTTTAATTACCTCAGTCCATCAAGTTTCAGTTTGCACAAGTAACATTCGTTAATTAAAGTAAATATTTAAGAATAAGATAGTTACGATAGGCAAGATGTGGGTCTTCCTGAGCTGATAAAAATTTAATTTGAAAGCGCTCGTTTTTAAAATCTTATCTAAAGTGTACATTTCCCATCAAATTTTTAAGTATAGTTTATTTCAAATAATCACCTACTCTAATATATTATCAAACATTTATTCAAAAATTAAAAGAGACCCTGAAAATCAGATTACCTAACAGTATGAATTTCTAGACTTCCATTGAATGAAGGGTGCCCTAGTTGTTAGCCGTAAGTTGTCAAAGTAGTTTGGTTACAAAGTTGTAATGATAAGAGGACCCTGACTGACGCAGTTTCTGAAGTTTTGGAGCTTGCAGGAATGAACTGTTGCCAAATGGGGCAGCGAAGCTTTGATTCAAAGGTCAGGCAGATTAGGTAGCGCCGACCATTACCAACAAGAGCTGTGCCTGGACTTTGTGTTTCCTTGGACTGTATCATAAACGCACAGTTTGAGCGGCGGAACTGAAATCAAATTTGCAATTTTTTATTCCGAAATATCAGTGAAAAGAGCTTTTAAACTTGTCAGAACCTCTGACCCAGAAACATAACTAGTAATGCCCACATATGTCTCAATATTAGGTGCAGAGAATTTCTGAATATGAGAAAAAAGAGATAAATATGTCTTTTAATGGAATTAACGTTTTTTGACGAAAAACTTATCTCTTACGAGGTTTTATACACTTTTTTTATTATTATTTTTTCCACTGTTAACGGATGACTGTTTTTTCAATTTCTGACTATCCAATCCTTGCCCCTTTTGCAGATAAATTTTAGAGTTACAGAAGGAATCAATATATCTTTAAACAGATAATGAATGATTACAACTATTTAAAAGCCGTACTTAATTAAGTATTTCCGAAGTCCTAATGATAGGGTGAGCTCACTAACGGCGAGGTCTACTTTTAAATTCACCGCCTCTCACTGAGATAACGCAGTTGTACCAACCACACACATGCAAAACCTGCTAAACGCAATGGATGAACAAGTAATTTATGTATGAAATGTCAATTAAATCCTCTTTCAAAATGGATAATTTCTTAAACTTTTAAGTTCATTAAAAATTTCGGCATGCTTCTCTCAACATCTCATGGAAAAAGGCCTTATCAAAGTTAAAAAGATTAATCGGTCGAAGTGAGGGAATGTTCTTCTGCTCTATTTACAAATTTGGAGACAAGGTCGCCAAGTTTTTTAAAAAATATATTTTAAATTTAAAATTAATCTCTCCCCTAATCAGTTTACGCTTTGGCAACCCTGTATTGTAATTGTGTATTTTCTTTTCGTGACTGTGCGTGAACACCGCACCGGTCGTAACTGTTCCTAGTTTAATTAATTTTCGTTCATGAAGTTTTAGTAGTAACTAATTTTCCATCTAAAGTTTGTTCAATTTTTACCATCTTTGCAAGTTTATTCAGTCCGTAAACAATTTCAGGATGGCGAACGTTTCGTATCAAATAGCAAACCTGCTGGAAAAGGTTAGTTTTCTTTGTAAGCCTATGGACCTATTTTAAATTTGGGAAAAAAATTAAATTCGTTTCAGTTTAAATCAATGCACTAACTAGGGTTACTTATGCCTTTATCAGCAGATACAAATATCTTATGTGGACAGCAACTTCATTGGTGTGTTACATTTTGCTCTCATTAGCCGATACGCTGATATCGTTTCCTTCCTTTTTATCAGTCATTATTGTCGTATGTACCCAATCATTACACTGCTGTACCTAACCGAATTTCTGTGATACTCATAATCTCAACAGCACCAGATTGGTAATGGATGAGTTTTCCCCTGAGCTATTTACGAATGGAAGCAAAATTTCCAGCCTCTACCTTGGCTTACCAAGGTATGATGGTGTTATGTTCCCACCGGAGCTTTTTTACTTACCTATTCTTATATTTTAGTACTCCCTCTAGCACTTATAAGTGAAGTGTAACACCACTTTGTCTTGTGCAGTCTGATAATTTAGTGCTCAGGTTCTCCCGGTGATTGTCAGTGGGCCCTTTGCAACCGTCTATTCTTAGCATGTATGTTAGACTGTGTGTTTTACCACAGCCCAACGATTCACATGAAATTAAAACTATAGAGGGACTCAAACTCTCTGAAAGCAATTTTAAGTCAGTTGTCTTCAGCCCTCATGTTAGAAATCACTAGAAGTGTTGGTAGCCAAGTTGGCCGTTGTTTACTCACTGTTTGCAAGCGACTGTGTCACAGTTGTCCAACTGTAACCATGGATCAACCACGGCACAACTGTGAGCAATGTTACTGTTATGTGCCGAAACATGAATCGGTCCTTTTTGCCTGACAGTCAAGAGGAAACAACTGCCAAAGATTTAGCTGATGATACATCCAGGGAAAGGTCCATCCTCTCGAGTCTTGGCCCAACATAGGAACATCTGTGCTTAGATTTTTTTCCATTCCTGGTTGTCTTGAACACCCATTTTACTTATTGTTGATTGACAAGGCAAGGCACTGGACTTAAATATAAGAAAGTAAGCACTGTGTAAAGTGCCATAAGACATAGAGCATGCATCATCACTGAAACATTAAATGTACTGCTTGCTCACTCATCATAGGTGGAGATAAAGTCAAGTATTGCTCATGTGTATTATGCTGTTGAATGGTGCTGATCTAGGTTTGGAGCTGTCAAGAGACTACTGATAATTGTGTCTCAGCGTACGATGAAGAAGCTCTTGGAAGGAATGTTAGGTTTCTCACTGTTGGCAAATAGAATAGACTAATCTCCCATTATTCTTACCAATGATAGAGGGACAGAGGAATCACAAGCATGTAATTGGTGTAGCCGTTCATTGTAGCAGAACACTATGCAACAGATCTATTATAGTCTTGGTTTTGATGTATTTGTAGATGACATCCAGCGACAAGGATTTCCGTTTTATGGCTACGAATGATTTAATGTCAGAACTTCAAAAGGATAACATTAAACTTGATGATGACTCGGAGAGGAAGGTCGTGAAAATGCTTTTACGATTGTTAGAAGATAAGAATGGAGAAGTCCAGAATTTAGCTGTCAAGTGGTAAGTAGTAATATTTACTTTTAAATCAATTCATTGACGCTCTTGATCCTCTGTTAAAAATTATTTTGTTGTGAGGCATAGAGGTTTACTTTTCTTTTCTTTTTGTCTTGATCATGAATTTTCCTCTGTGTTCAACTGAGCGTACATCTGCCAAACGGAACTATGTGCATAGTGGACATGAGCGCTGAGACCCATAAGAATATATGCATAACAGAAATATGTCCAACTTATCTCTTGTGACACTAAGAAATCAGGTGAATGAAGAAAGATAAATAATAAAAATAATTTACACTAATTCCTTTTTCCGACATTTTGTTTTTTGTGCTCTGTTTTCCTCATGCGCTGATTGAATCAAGAGTTAACCCTTTTTTAAGGCATGAGCTGTAGACAAAATTGTTTCGTATCATTCTTTCATCGTTTGATCCATTAATCTTAATGATTTTCCATTTATGTTCTTATTTTGAAACAGCATACATTAGCTTGGAATGCAGTTTTGGAAAAAGGAAAGAAAGAATAAAAAGAACATTTTTTCAAAAAATATTTTTAAGGATAAGTAAAGACTGCAAAGAATTATAATTGGACTTTCTTTACATTAACTGAAGCTCTAATTCTATTTTCAGCTCTATTTTGTCCTCAGAACTAAACTTTCATTTAGCTCTCTGCTCCCCCGCCCGCTGCTCTCTCTGCAAATGAGTGAATTTGTCTTTCCTAAGAAGAGTGTTCCAATTTTATCATATGGCATACGTTAAATTTACTGTAAAACCAGACTTTGAAGCGTTAAGTCTGGAAGGACTAACCAAACCTAGCACCTGAACAGTTGACCTTGCCCTGATTTCCTTGCTTATTCTTACCTGAATTTGGCTTTATTGTAGTAGCCTGAGAAAATGTTGAGCACTCCTTATACATTAGGCTTAGGCGCTCAGATGATCCTTTCAATTTATGAAGAAGTTTGAATACTGCTGACAAAGATTACAGGATGTGAACTACCATTAAAGTGGTTAAATTTTAAATGACTACTTTGTCTCAACACACATTCATCCAGTGTGGAAATAAAAAATCCAGTGGCTGTACTAAACCTCCCACCAACTTTTAAAATCTGGTTTTAGAAACAATTCCCTATCGTAAATATTCTGTGGATTTCGTCCCAGAAGTAAAAAAAATCGTTTTCAGGTAGGGTAGAACATAGCCTGTTGACATTATTCCGTCTGTTCTTAAAAGTTCAAGAACATTTTTCAACAACACATTGGCTTACTGTTAAAGAAAGCAAAAAATGAAATAGATTGATAATTCATCTCCTTTATTGTTTTAGTCTCGGTCCACTCGTAAACAAGGTGAAGGAATATCAAGTCGAGACCATAGTTGATGCCCTTTGTACAAATATGGTATCAGAAAAGGAGCAATTACGGGATATATCAAGCATTGGACTGAAGACAGTAATAAGCGAATTACCTCTGGCCTCCTCTTCGCTCGCAGCCAATGTCTGCAAAAGAATCACAGGTCGTCTCAGCAGCGCAATTGAAAAGGTAATATTTTAAGTTCTTATAATCTCAACTGTCTTGTCTTTTCCTAGAAAGTTGAACTTTTTGCCCTGTTCAACTATCTGAACCTTTTGATATTACTGAAAATTTTCCTATAGGTATCTTATTTGTAAATAATGAGGGCAAAATATAGCCTTGATACCCTTTATTATAAGTTTATTCTCCTACAAGGCCTTTTGATTATGAACTTTTAAAGAAAAGTATCAATGCTATATTTTTCCCTTATTATTTTAGTCAGCAGTTTCCCGAGTTTAAAGCATGCAGGTGTAAATGTAAATTTGACACTTCATTAGCTTAAAATGAATTAAATCGCTCACATTTTAATCAGAAGTACTCTGAAGAGTTTTCTAGGATATCTCAAAAGCTGATCATTCTACCTTATTGAAAAGTGGAATATGTCTGTACCATCTCAGGAAATTTGTCTTTTAAAGGGGGAATCATTCTTATTCTGACCCTAGGAAAAATTTTAAGAAAAGCGACTCCTTGTTGAGTTAGGTAGGATGATCAGCTTTTGAGGTGCCCTTGAAGACTCTTTAGAGTACCTAAGATTAAAGTGCGAGCGATTTTGTTCATTTTAAGCTAATAAAGTGTCATATTTCAATTTAAATCTGGCAATTCTGTGACCAGAACATGGCAGATGCAGATTTTAGGTAGCATTTTCTTGAATTGACGTGTTTTGAACTCAAACTTCAAATTGTGATGGCTCCAATTTGATTTGACGTTCTTGGGTTTTTTTTTTTGATGTACCATGTTTGTGGAACACCTCATGGTAATCAGGTATCAATACCTCATTGAGTATTTTGTGCACTAAATTCCTTTCTCCGGCAGTTGGTCACATCTGGTGTTTAATGTTCAATCACCGAAGAAACCTTAGGATAACACATTCATTCTTTTCCCACCGAAATCTGTAAAAAAATCTATTTTATCTGGAAAGGATCTGGGAAATGTGAGAGGAACTTTCATCAGGAAATTTGTTGAAGGGAACCAGGAGAATGGCCAAGGTTAAAAAAATTCAGTAACTAGACACAACGGTTTAAATGAAACTATAGGTAGAGTTTTGCCTGCCCTGAGTTCATTTGTTCAGAAAATTAATCCATGAACTTCAGCTGTCAAGAGCAGTTAGTGACGACCAAACAAAAAGTAGCTGTTTGAAGCCTCGTAGTATCAAAAGAAGAAACCTGTATGTTCTACTGATCCAATAAAACTCCTTATCTTCGGTAAAAGTTGTGAACTAACCTTTCGCTCCTTTGAATATTCTCTTCTTCATTTTTCAGCAAGAAGATGTGTCCGTCCAACTAGAAGCGTTAGATATTCTTGCTGATTTGCTCTCTCGTTTCGGAGGGTTGCTCATCTCTTTTCATGCAACTATTCTGATGGCTCTGCTACCGCAACTTGCGTCACCACGACAGGCTGTTCGTAAGCGTACTATTGTTGCTCTCAGCCACTTGGTCATGTCCTGTAATCCTCAGCTGTACAATAAGTTAATTGATACTCTTCTCGAAGGCTTATCAAATAATGCAAACACATCCACTACTCGCACTTTCATCCAGTGCATCGCAGCCATTTGGTAAGCTACATACATACCACAATAACAGTTGAAACTGTGTTAAATTCAAAATGCCAGTCACATTTTCACTGGAAATTGCAACACGACCCATAACTCATATTGGCAGAGCTGTTTGTGTGAATATACAGGGTGTTAGAAAAGTCTGCTCCACCCATGCTAACTTTTTACCTCTTTGGACGTATTTTTGTTAAATGGAACTAAGCGCCAGTTTGAGTGCCTTTTGAAGAATTTAGAATCCTGGATAGCGCGTTCTGTCAAATGTAACTAAGCACCATGGAAAAGCATTGCTAGTTTAGGACAGAGCGAGCATCGTGTTCTGCAACACCCGCCAATCCAAGCCCCCCTCTTCCTTCCTCCCTCTATGGCGCTTAGTTCCGTTTGATAGAAATATGTCTAATTGAGGTAAAGATTTGAAACTTGGGGGGACGTTCCTAGGTGAAAGGGAGCTACTTTCTGGTCCCCAAAAATTGTCAGGAAACCTCTCCTTTGAGAGTAGCAGACTCCATTTTCTTTTTTCTTCAAACGGGGAGCCCTCTGAGGTCATCATCTGAAATCATTTCAAAATAGCGGAAAATTGGCATTTTGGTTTTTTGCCTGGAACTGGGCATCTGGGGTTATTTTTGCATGAGAAAAACCATCTTAAGGCCCTGTCCACACGAGCGGAGTTCGAGAAACTTATTCGACGAACTGCTCAGTTCCCAGAACTTGTTCTTTAAAAGGAGGCATGCTGCCCACACAAGTTCGCCCAAATTGGAACCGGAACTTCAATAAAACTATACAATTATTGCAAAATAATAGATTATTCCGGCTGCCAAAGTAGGTAACAAAAATAAATGTCAAGACATGTAAAGGACGTAAAAAACAAACAAATTCACATCAAAAGTAACATTTGTAGAAGCTCAGAGTATGGGGGAAGTTCCGGGTTTTGGAGGAATAAGTTTTTAGCTCAGCTAAAATTGTTCCGGGAACAAGTTCCTCGAACTATGTTCCGCAAACTGCACTCGTGTGGACAAGGCCTATCGCAAGGTATCTTAGAAACTCAATTTTTTAAAGTGACAACCTCGAAATGGCACCCTTTTTGGAGCCAAAAAACACATCTTTATTGCACATTACTTTGTTGCATCACACACGTTTCCATGCCCAAAATGTTTGAAAAGTTAGGGAAAAGTGAAGAAATTTTTAAATTCAATAAGCTTGTACTGTAAGAGTGGATTCAATGTTTATTCTATCATTCTTCCTTCCTTTAAATGTTTGAATTCTCTTTTAAAAAAAAATGTCATTTTATTGATCTTATATAAGCCTTGCTGTCATTTTTCAGTCGACAAGCAGGACATCGCTTTGGTGAGCATATTGAACGAGTCATGCCTCTTGTTGTACAGTACAGTCGAGAAGAAGACGATGAATTAAGGGAATTTTGCTTGCAAGCTTTTGAAGCATTTGTGCAACGCTGTCCAAAAGAAATAACCCCTCATATCAACACTGTAAGTACCCAAATGTTAGTATACTAAAGGCTCAATTTGCTGAAAACGCAATATATTTGATTTTGTATTTTGCAGTTGTTGAGGACCATGCTGGAAGAAGGGTGTACCTCGAAATAGGTACATCGTTTGATCAAGTTTGTTTTTTTCCCCCCAAACTATCGATGGATCCCTAAATTAGGATCAGGATCTGGGTTAACTATAAGCTTTGGTTTGACCAATTGATCCACATAGTTTGTTGGAAAACCATTTCAAACGTTCAAATGCGTTTTTCAGATACGCTGTACTTTTTTTTAAGCATGCCCCTCTCCGGGCATCGTCCTCAAATTTTTGCAAACAATGTCAAACTCCTCTGATCTAGCTTTGTTTTTAACATGCGCTCTGTGCATTACAATTAAGCCTTGGTTGAACCTTTCACTCATCGGAGCTGTGCTTTTTTGGCTAAGCACAGCAGAAATGAACACAATTTATCTTTTGATGCAGATAATTGAACTGTGTTTGCTCCACATTACGTATGATCCAAACTACAATTATGAAGAAGAAGATAACAATACAATGGAAATGGAGGATGATGGCATGATGGGTGATGATTCTGATGTCAATGATGAATACTCTGATGATGATGATATGAGCTGGAAAGTTCGTCGTTCGGCTGCTAAATGTCTGGAGGCAACCATTGCAACTCGCCGTGAACTTGTCGCAGAAATGTATAAAACAGTGTCTCCCGCATTAATAGCTCGTTTCAAAGGTATCTCTTGCTAATTTTCTTCTTTTACTAGTAAACCAAAATGAGCCTCAGTCAACTACACTATTAGAAGGAAACCATTTCCCAAATGAATCCAGAAATTTTATGACAATATTTTTTGTTAACTTCTGTAGTAATGGAAAGTGTATCTATTCAATGTTCACAGTGGAGAATAAAATCTTCCAGACAGCAGCCATGTTATGCGAATCAGCTAGAAGATATTAATACGTGATCCAATTTTTAAAAATCATCTAACTTGACAAGGTTCGATAGAAAAAACAAGATTTTAAAGAAACATGGAGTCTGGTTTTTACTTAGTAAAGATCAGAAAAAGCCAATGGACATGTTCTGAATTAGAGAAAATCGTCACATGTTTCTCTTCAAAAGCTTACACAGAAAGCAATTCACACAACGGGAAGTTCAGAAATCAACCACTACATAATATAATATCAACAAGTATTTTCAACTTTGATCAAATGGTAATTAGATTTTACAAATATCGTCATTTGTATTTCTGTCATTTAACGAACGTTTATTGTGAATACTCGAGTCTGATTTAGTAATTTATTTCCAGACTTCCTGTTGTGTGATTTGTTTTCGGGTACAATTTTGAATGGAAAACATGTTTCGTAGTGTGATAATTCATACCTTGCCTCTTTCATACAAAAAATTCTGATTTCTGCCAGCAAAAATGTTGTTTTCCAGACAAGTCAAATCCAGACAAAAATTTTCTCTTTGCTGAGCACAGTAAAATCATGTTCGAATTAAATGTCTGTAATAAATTCTGTCAGTCTGATTTTGTAGAGTAAATTAAGTTGTGTATCTGATCTATTTTTAAGCTTTTTGCTCTTAAATTACCGAAAAGAACCAATATTTTTTTATTCCTCTAATTTAATTCCATTTTTATTTCTCCCAAATAGAAAGAGAAGAAAATGTGAAAAGTGATATTTTTCATGCTTTCATGGCTTTACTGAGGCAAACAAAACCTACAACTGTCAATTTAGATCCTAACATCATGGAACAAGAAGACACTCCTGTATGTCTTCTTCAAGCTCAGGTAAGTCCATCCCAGTAGCTTTAATTAACCACTAGACAAGGTACAAAAAGTATTCTGATATTTGTTTCCACCTCCAAATTTCACGAAGGACACAATTTGAAACGAGAATCACTGAAATTAATCTCTAACCAGTCATCAACGTTTTTGTGGCACTTATAGTTTTGAAAGATTTGGATTTCCCACCTACAAAAAATACCAGAATCTATCTATATTCTGTCGTTTATCACAAGGGTTTTGGTAATCGAGCAGTGTCGCTCCCGGACCTGCGTTATTCAAAGTGTTAACAATGTGCAACAGCTGAGCCAAAGCTCTGAAATGAAGATGCCACAATTTTATAGCATAAAGATTATTATGTTAATGTTTACCATGCAATTTAAATCAAGTAGATTATGATTTTTGTAAGAAGAGGAAGTTTGAATTTATGCATTGAAAAATGTCAGCAAGTTATTTTAAATCATTTTCCTTGCACAAATTGTGTTCTATGTGAAATTTTAATAAGGAAACAAAATACTGCTTAAATTCGCACCTTATAAAATGGAGTGAGTTAAGCAGAAGGGAACCAACCCACATTTTGGAAAAAATTGAGTTATGAGTGGTTTTGAACTCAACCACTGCTCTATTATCTATCGCCAAAAATTCAAAGTTTTTGTTGGAGCAAATTTTGCAGAAATTGAACTTGAAGTTTAACTTTTACATTGAGTCTTATGCAGGAGCTAAACTTTAAGCCTGCTTTTCTCGGTTCGATCCCGATGTGGCTTGGTTCCTTTCTGTTTAACTCCGTCCAATTTGGTCTATTACCTTTTTATGAAGGTAATCTCAACAACTCTATTCTTATATTTATGAAGTCACCTGATTATCTGAATAAGACTTTCAAGAAGTGAATGCGTTCAATCAATAAGTCGTTTCAATTCATAAGTCGAATCAAATCAAAGATGTAGACTCTTTCAGTATGTAATGTCTTTAGTTGAACTGTGTAATACAGGTAGTGAAGAAAAATGAAACCAAATCATACTGTAATGCATTTCACTCCTTCCAACATAATTTACTGATTCAATTGCATGTTTGATTGTATTTTGCTTCAGTCTGGTGCATCTCTTAATGTTTTATAATTTTTACGATTCCTCTAATGTTATTATCTTTTTCCTTGAGGAATTAACAATTTGACTTTAGATCAGTTTTGAATCACCATTCAAGTTTCGTTCTTGTTTATAAGAGATCTCTTTCCTTGCAGTAAAAAATCTTTACATGGTCTCATATTTTTTCTTTTCTTTTCAGATTCCAGCTATAGTCAAAGCTGTATACGCGCAAATGAGAGAACGGAGTATTAAAACAAGACAAGATTGTTTCTCACTCCTAAAAGAAATTGTAAATGTTCTACCTGGTGCTCTAACTAATCATATACCTACTCTTATCCCTGGAATTCAGTATTCTCTTGGGTAAGACAAGAATTATTTATACTCAAGAACTTTAAACTAGGGCTGTGCGAGTACTCGAATTCGAGTCGAGTCGAGCCGAGTATCGAGTACTCGACTCGGCTCGAAAGTTAGGTTAGGTTCGAGCGAGTACTCGAACTCGGCTCGAGTGTCAACAACACGAGTTTTTTCGAGTATTTCGAGTTTTTTTGAGCCGGAAACGCCGAAAGAGTCCAACTTCCAAATATTTCAATCATACTTCAACTAATGTTAGTTTTGCCATCATTTTACGATTGAATAACATCAGAGTCTCGTCGGCAAATTTCTACCTTCCGCAACGCCAACATGCTACCGCCCGGCGATTTCCTGCCGCCCGCGGTTTGTAAATACACGGAGTCATATGAGCGCATTTATGCGCGCGACCAATTTCAACCTGCGGCGGCGACCGCCGCTTGGAAGACTGAAAGTGAGCACGTGTTTTGGACCTTTTGCGCTCCAGGTAAACGGTGTCGCGGCGGCAGAAAAAAGGTGCTGCGGCTACAAAAATATGGATAGCGCGATTCCAAAAAACGTCGCGGCGACAACTGCCGCCGGCGACACGAATTGCGTGTATAAATGGGCTCTAAAGCCTTCACTTGTGCCGCCCGAAGTTCCTTCGATGTACGCCGCGGATTAAATCACGTTTTAAAACTCAAAATTACTTGAACTCGACTCGAGCTCGACTCGGCTTGAGGGTCATTTTCAAAGCTCGAAAAAGCTCGAACTCGGCTCGACTTAGTGAAAAAATACTCGAACTCGGCTCGAATCCAAAAAACCAGGCTCGCACAGCCCTACTTTAAACTTACTGTAGAAAATTCATGGGATAAATCTTAGCATTCAAAGTGAAACAACAAACTTTAATAGATTTTAAAAATGCAAGATTACAGATTAGGTCAAAAATTTGAAAAGATTGCCGAAGGAAACACTTTATTGCCATTTAATTATCTTTGATATTCCTCAGACACCCAGGTGGCCTTTGTGGCTACTCTCAATCACCTTTTGCTGCCAAAGCTGAAAATCAAGCAAATAATAGTCAAAAGCAACAGGATTGTTGATTGATTTCTGTATAATTGAACAATTTATTTATTTATTATTTTTTTTAAATCTTTGAATTAGTCCTCTTACCAATTCCTCATTGTGAAGTTAATATCAATTATTAGAAGTTAATTAATGAATTATTTTCTTTTCAGTGACAAAAACTCCAGCAGCAACATGAAAATAGACACTCTCTCATTTATTTACTGTCTGCTAACAACCCATCCACCAACAGTTTTTCACAGTCACATGGAAGTACTAGTCCCACCTGTTATTGCAGCAGTTGGAGATAGTTTTTACAAGATCACAGCTGAAGCACTCTTAGTACTCCAACAATTAGTCAAAGTCATTCGACCTCTCGGTAATCATTCATTTTTTATTTCATCAATTATTCTAATTTTCACATTACTTAATTAGAACCCAAGAAAAATCTTTATGTAGATTTCAATTTCAACAAAATATGTCAATTGTATTCCGCCAAGTACAGATTGTTCTTGTATGACTGATACCCTCAGTTCCGCAAATAATCCTGAAATTGTCCCAACTTAGCCTGTTGAAACTAGATTTAAATAATGTTGATTGCTAAACATAGCAGATGATTCAATTTCAGCAATAGTATTTACGATGCATACTGATACATTAGTTTCAATTTCAAAATTTTATGTTACAGCTGCTCAGTGTGAGGAAAAGAAATTAACAGAGGTTAATGCTTTCACAAATTGCTCATCTGTGAAATGTGCTAATAAACAAATGAATAGAACAATTTTTCAGCTTGCTGAACAAATTCAAGCTTCTTACTTAGTCTCTTGTATTTGTAATTAGGCATTGAAAACCTACTCTTTACTAATCAATTTTTTTTTTTTTTTTTTTTTTTGCCTTAGATTGTCCCAGTAATTTTGATTTCGCTCCTTTCACAATTGAACTTTACAATTGCACACTATTTCGCCTGAAAGCAGCCGACATTGATCAGGAGGTGAAAGAACGAGCTATCTCGTGCATGGGTCAAATTATTTGTAATCTGGGAGATTATCTTCAGGTAAAACCTCTACCTTATCCTTGTATTCTAGATCAATTTAAAAATCTGAAAAAGACATTTCCCTGAAAACAGATGTTTGTCTTAGAAGCCTCCACCCCCATTCCACTTAATCTGTCATTCTTCATTTTGTCTCAATTATTTAGAGACATAAAATCGACAAACTAACTTTTCAATTCTAATTGCAAGGGGAATATCATGCAATGTCTCAAAGTTTGTTTTTGAAGGAGTACTTCTGATGGTTTGGCACAGTGTTATTACTCATGCAAACAAGATAACACGGGACCTCCTCTCAAAGTTTGATCGACGACTTCTCTTGGCGCCATCAAAGGAGGTGAAATGAAACAAGCGAAAGAGTTGGTCCTGTTGCAAAAGGGCCATATACTCCAGAAGACCGCAAGTACTCTCATGCAGATTTGATAAAAAAAAATTGAAAGAGAATTTTATTAAATGAGAGAAACCCATTAGATTAGAAAACTCAATTTTAGTTAGCGCTGATAGAAGACGTTTTTGCAAAATTGTCTGCATTTCAAAAAAATCAAGGAAGCCTAGAACCAATTATTTCCCTGCATCTCACTTTCTTTAAAATTTCCCTTGAATTTTCAATATGTTTCAGGGTGAGCTACCAATTTGTCTCCCGATATTTCTTGATAGACTTCGGAATGAAATTACCCGATTGACAACTGTCAAAGCTTTGACCAAAATCGCAAGCTCCCCTCTACGAATAGATTTGAGGCCTCTTTTGGTAAGTCAAAATTGTTCCTGCTTATCCCCAAAATAACGAGACTCCAAATGCTTACCTTAAACAGTAATTCGGTAAAGTAGCTGCAGTCAGAGCCTCTGATTATTTTCTGTACATTTTTTTTCCAACAATAGCCACTTTTCTAGAGATCTATCCATCTTTAATGCTCCACCTGTTGCTAATATTGAAAACATACTGATCTTTTTTTAACTTTTTAATTAACTTTGTCATTATAATGATGCTTTGGGTAAGCTGTGTTACTCAAAAATACTCTCAGTATTTAGCATTATAACAAAAATGGCACTGGAATTTTCAACATGAGTTATTAAGTTAGTAAGGAAGCAATCATGCAATCAATATTCGCTCGCATCATAATTTTTTCACTTCAATACACTAGTCATAAATACTTTATGTAACCAAATTTTTTCCTGTGAATTGAAATAATCTTAAATTTATAAACATTGGTCAGTTATAAGAATCAAAAATAATTTTAGTTGGTCCTCAATCCCACCACTTTTATTTGGTCTAAAAATCATTCTAAATGCCGCCCGGAAATGTCCATTTTGATCTGTAAAGACACCGAGGATAAGGTGAAAGAAGATAGAAGTTCTTTTTCATGTAAGTGAATAAAAATGTATGCAATTAATTTTCATGCAATTAATGTTTTAAACTCGATTATTTGAGCTGTTTCCGCTTATATCTATTTTCTTGTCTTTTTCAGGGTGAAGGTATTCCTATCCTAGGTTCGTTTCTGCGTAAAAATCAAAGGGCACTAAAATTGAGCACTTTAACCCTCTTAGATACTCTTTTGAACAATTACAGTACAGCCATGAATGTCAATCTTCTTCAAAAGGTATGATCTACAGTTATTCTTTGATCAAACTCTAACAGTATCAGGATGATGCATTAAAACCCAGAACCTTCAGTTCTTATAGAACCTTACAAGTTTATCTGGATGTATGATGACTCTGTCAACAAGGTAGCTGCAATTTGAAAAATAAATCCAGCTAGAATAGATTTATTTATTTATTTTTACTGGTTCAAATTCTACTGTTTAAGAGTGTTTCCATAAAAATTTCCAAAATAATATTGAAGTCAGTCAATTTTTGTATTTCTTCTATTAATAGATTTTAAATGCATATCGTAAAATTTTAGAAAAAATGTGATTTGTCTGATTGAAACTCTGGTCAGAAGGAAATGATGAGGAACCTTGCCAATAATTGGACGGCTTTAACCAGAACTAAACCAAGTTCATCTTTTGCAGCCAAGTTTCTTTTCATGTTTACTTTTATAACCAGAAATCCAAGAAAATAATGCTATGAAACTTTCTGCAAATTTTTCCTTTAACGCATAGTATGTATTTACAAAATTTTTAATCAGGGCGTCTTAGTTTCCTGGTGGAGAAAAGGAAGTAGAAACCCAAGCAATGTGTGATTTACAGGCAATTGTGTCGAGGTTTCCAAATATGAAGTAGAGAATGTATGATTAAGTCCATAATTGGAAGAAAGAAAAACTGAAAGAAGAATGATAAGGTCTCAAAACTTGAAGCAAGGATTACATTGCCCCAAATGAGATTGTGGTCTGCATCACTATGGTCCCATTATAAGGATCAGGTAAAGAGGAATCAGTATTCCGTAAGTCTTCTTCCGCTCTTCTCCCTCCCTACTTACCTCTTTATCTTTATCACCAAAGTGGTGGAGTGATGTTACCGAGCCGTGTTGCAGGCTTACTTGCATTCAAAAGTATGAAATAGGCAAAACATTCATAAAAAAGCAGTCTGATTTTTTTGTTTGTAAATTTACAGGTGATGGTTGAACTGCCCCCTCTCATCAGTGATCAAGATTTGCACATAGCTCAGTTAACTCTGATTCTTCTCACCACAACTGCCAAAGTTCAGCCATCAGCACTTCAGCAACCAATATCAGCCTTACTACCTGAAATACTAACGCTTGCCAAGTCACCTCTGTTACAAGGTTACCTATTTCTTTTAATTTGTTATTTTTACATGCCTTAGCTCGGAAATTTACCTTTTATTTGAGGCTGAAATCAATATGAATTGTGTTCAGGGTGTCTTCTAGTTTGGAAAGTCTGGAAATAGCACTGATTTTTTAAGGGTGGCTTGGAAGTATGAAAAGTGCACAAATTTCCAAGAGGAGCTCCGTAATTATTTCCTCCATACCACACATGTTTTTTATTGAAGCCTTGAAAGTATGCAATCCCCTACTTGTTGATTCTTAGAGTATTATTTGTCTGCACTATTGCGATTGTGCAGTCAGTTAATCTTTTAAATTTTGTGGCTGTGTCATTTATGTTGCAATTTGAGCGACAATTTACCATTTTCGAATTTTTGTCAAGTAGTGGCACTGAAAAAGTACTTAATTTCTCCCTAGTAATGCACTGAAGTACCGTATAAGTACTGATTTATGACAAGCCTTTTTAGTTGGCTTTCTGGTGTTACAAATTCAATTTTGCAAGAAAATCTCATAACTACAAGAAATTTTGAGATCTTTTCCCGAAGATTTGCCTTTGAAAGTTTAAAAAAATTGTGAATTTTTTTTTTTTTTTAAAAAAAAAGGAAGAAAAATCAATTTATTTTCTATTGCATTGAAAAGTCCACTTTTCCGATCATATTTGAAAGCTTTCTTTCTAGCTCCTTAGATCTCTAGAAAAACTTTTAAAATTTTCTGGATCAACCTTCAAAAATCTTGTTTCCGAGGAAAGTAGCCTTGATCTCTGTTCGGATTTAAAGCATACAAAACTAATTATTGATTTTCACAGCTTTGAACTTTTTTTAAAAACTCCCTGAATGCAAGAGTTTATCAGACAAGCTACTTCTGAGAGTCCCAGGATCTGTAAAGAGTTGAGGAAGTTTTTTTCCGCACCCCTTCCACAACGGATGGAGGAACTCAGCTGTACAAAGCCAATCACCTTGTAAGATCAATTTTTTACGACATTAAAAGCATCTGGTGCAAAATGAATGGTTTTCACAAAATATTATGATCAACATTGTAAAGTAGTCCTCTTATTTTTTCAGGAGCTGCTCTTACTTCAATGTTGGAGCTCTTCCAAGCTTTTGTCAGCACTGGGATAACTGGTTTAGGATACAATGATCTTCTGAAAATGTTGATATCCCCAATCCAGCAAGCTAATGGTGGAGGCACTACAACGCCTACTTCTTCTTTACATAAACAGGTGTGTATCAAATCAGAATACATCGACGATGAAACTACCGCACCACATACCTCCTTTGCAGTGTTTAAAAATCTCCATCCCTGTTTTTTTTAACAGGAGAACAAATCAATATCATTCCTTGAAGTTTTCACAGAGTGTTCTTGGCACAGAGAAGAAAACTCTGAGTTTTCAAGAAATGACGATGAGTCGTTTTCAATTAGAAAAAAAAGTATAATAGAAAGTCTGTGGAAGGCAGCAAACTGAGATATGTGGTCTGGTAGTTTGATTGTCGACATACTTCGTAGAATGTATGTGTGGCATGCTTATAAATTGATCCTTAGTTGCAGACATAGTTTTTCCATCTGGATCAAAGATTTTCAAAGGTCACAGGTCTATACTCAAGTATTGAAGTGTATTTCCTTTTGGAACATACTTTGAGGGATTTGATCTTTTGATGTACAGTTTTCTCACTGAAATGAGATCCTCTATCCAGGAAAATAATTCAGGGTCCTAGAATTCTGCAGTATTCTGTGAACGTTGAAAGACCAATGCTTACGTCTTTTAATATTAACTTCATCATTTGATTTCAACTCTCTTTTTATATGAGGCCTTGTCTACACAAGCGTGGTTAGCAGAACTTGGGGCGAACCTCTTCCTGAAAATTATTATAACTCAACTATAACTTATTCTGCAAAAGTGCAGTCTATTGAACTAATCTGCCCAATAGTTCTGGGAACGGCATTCATGTAGACAAGGCCTAAGGTTTCACAGTGCATTTAGTAAGTCAAAAAAATTTAAATTGAAACAGTAGTTAAATCATATAACTTCCTGTTTAATCTTAGATTTCTCCTGTGCTAAGTAAGTCGGTATTAGTCTTAAGATGCCTTGCTTCCAAAGATAAGAAATAGTAACAGAAGCAGCTGTAAGCTCCAAATGGAATTTTTGGAAGCAGGAGAACGATTTGAATCATCCTGTGTGAAAACTAAAATAATCACAATTGAATATGCACTCAGAGATATGCTAAACAACTTTCATGTTGCAATTTTTCATAAAATTAAAAAATTCACTGAAAAAAATATAACTTTTCCTGGAGTTAACCCTCTAGGCCAGATTATCAGAAATATTGTCAAAAACATAACTTAGATGTAAATTTGTGTGTAACTTCAATTAATCGTCCAACTTAAATAAGCCGCAACATCTGCGGTGGCCACATCATAAGGATTTAACCATATGTACTTGCTTCATCATTACTTTGATTAGAAAAAATTCCTAAAAGGTTTGGATGTCTTATGATTACAGGCATTCCACTCTTTAGCAAAGTGTGTCGCGGCTATCACTATAACACAGCAGTCTGAAGCTCTCAATATTGTTGATAAATTTCTCAAAGACATACAGTATCCTAGAAATGATTCTCAGCATATTTTTGCTCTGTTAGTCATCGGAGAAATCGGTAAACACATGTAAGTAAAATATGTTTTACCTCTAGTCTGTGTTGATTATGTACCGATTTTATTTTGTGCCGAGAAGACTCATGTCACTCATCACTAACGTTGCCCATTCCATCATGACAATATAAAAGGATCAAGTAGGCTGACCAACCTTGCTTAAATCAGCTCGCTGTTTTTAAGCCCTACAAGAACTCCTCCCTAAAATATCAGTGGTCTTTATCAAGGTTTACATTTTTATGTCTTGAAATTTTAAATTTTTGATTTTCCCCTTTTACTGTACCATACCTTTTTTAAATCGTAGGTTTTTTTTTTTTTGCGCTTATTAGCTTTGGGCTTCCTTGATAATAATTTAAAATAAGTAATAATTCAAGAGAGTTATTTTTACTGAATTATAAAATTTTGCTCTCGCTTGGATTAACTTTCCCCCTCCAGCCAAGCATATTTTGGAAAGTGCTTCTCTATTCTGAAAAAGGTATTGACCCTAAGCCAAAACCATCTTATTTTGCAATAAAAATATCAATTTGCTTACTCTGGATAATTAATCTAATTTGACTATTAATTATTAGAATTGAGACTTACTGTGTAGATTCATTCAACTACAAACGAAGATCAATTGTTTATAAGAATCTCTAAGATAAAAAAACCAGGGTTTCATTCAAAGATGTATTTAATGTAAAATCTTCATATTATCATGACTATTTTTCAGAGATTTGAGCAGTGTTGCTGAGTTGAAACAGATAATTCTTCAGTCATTCTCACCTCCGTCAGAGGAAGTTAAATCAGCAGCCAGTTACGCTTTAGGAAGTATAGCAGTTGGTAACCTTCAGCAGTACTTACCATTTGTTTTGGAAGAAATTGAAAACCAACCGAAACGACAATACCTTCTTTTACACTCATTGAAAGAGGTATGCATCTTTTTTGCCATTTCTAATGCTAGTGTTTGAATTTTTGGCAATTTTTTGCAGTATTTTGGCTTTGTCGGAGAATAATTTAAATTTAAATTTCCACTTAAAACAGTCAAGTAATTCCTATTTTAGCAGTGAATTCTGTTTAATTGGTAATTACATTTTGTCACCTTAAAAAGCACAAGTCTTTTTTAAAATTGAATTGAAAATGTATTTTTGACGTAGAATTCAGTTACTCAGCTCACCAATGGTTTTGTTTTTCTCAGTGATTGAAATTGTAAAAGTACTCTCAAACCATTTTTAAAACATTTTTTTGCAGATTATCAGCTGCCAATCCAGTTCACAAATTGGAATTCTAGCTCTGCAACAATTTGTTCCCGCCATCTGGAACCAATTGTTCCTCCACTGTGAATGTGCTGAAGAAGGCACTCGAAATGTTGTTGCTGAATGCTTGGGAAAACTAACACTAATTGATCCTGAAAGTCTACTTTCGCGATTGCAAGAGTCCCTCCAGTCTCCCTCTGCATTGATGAGGACAACTGTTCTTACTGCAGTCAAATTCACTATTTCAGATCAGGTATGGAAAATTTTAACTTCTTTATTCCACTTTACTCCTTTCAGTGTATCTTCATCATATATAAGTAAACTTACTAAGAATGAGCCGTGACTGAGGTCTTGATCGACTAAGAAAAACGAGATTACTTAGAAGAATGCACTCTTTTTTACTCAAGTACACCCTCTCTTCATTTATTATGACTAATTTTATCTGTGAGGATTGCAAACAAGAAAGTGAGAAAAATTTTATTCATTTCCTTTATTGTTTACTCAAGAATGTCAACTACATAATTTTATACTTGCTTACTATACAGAATGCCCCAACTTGATCGGCAGAAACTGTAAAGGTCAATCCTTTAAACCGAAATAAAACTATTTTATTCTACAGCATTTTTTCATTTGAGAGTCACTACGTGCATTCCCACGATTGAGTATTGAAGTGCAGAGGAAACCTAGGCTCAAGGAATATTGAAATATGGAGGAAACCTTTGCTCAGGGATTGCATTTTCAAAGGATGTTCTTGAATTTTCAGGCCTGAGGTTGCATGGACCCTAGATACCCTGTCAGGTACTTGACAATCGATTATCCATCCCTCTACTTTATATCTCTCTACTCTTTGTTACAGCCACAGCCCATTGATTCTCTACTGAAGCAGTCCATCGGACAGTTCTTAAACGCTTTACAAGATCCTGATTTGAATGTGCGTCGGGTGGCTTTAGTTGCCTTCAATTCAGCTGCTCATAATAAACCATCCTTAATCTGTGACCTTCTAGATTCAGTTTTACCTCAATTGTACGCTGAAACAAATATTAAGGTACTTTCAATCATTTATCAAAATTAACTATTCGTAAGTTCAAGGATTTTGTAATTTTCTAATAGAAGGAAACATAATTTAATGTTCAAAATCAATAATTGCCATTCCCAACAATAAACATTTGGAGAAATGATAATAAAATGATTTATATTACAAAATAAAATTAATTGCAGTAATATCCTGCCTTGATTATCTGCTCATCACATTTCTGGCGAGGCATCATGCGTTATTTTGCCTTGGTCTTTTCTTTTCTCTGTTCACTTTACTTTTTCCATTCATATTACAAGAGGTTTCATATTTTTTTATGAAATTTCAAGCGTCTGGCGTGTTCAATGTCTGGCTCGGGCTTTCGCCACAATTTATAAGATAGTCAAAGTAGCACCCTGTATCACAAATAGTCTCTAAAATTGACTGGTTAAAATTGATTTCATTATTTAAATATTTTTTTCACTAACTGATAATCTGAGTCAGCTCAGATTATCAGCTCTTTTCCGCTATACAACTCAACAACTAATTTTATCAACAGAAAGAACTCATCCGAGAGGTCGAGATGGGACCATTCAAACACACAGTCGATGATGGATTGGATATCAGGAAAGCAGCATTTGAATGTATGTACACCTTGTTAGTATCGTGTTTGGACAGACTAGACATTTTCCAGTTTCTAAATCATTTGGAACATGGACTAAAAGATCATTACGACATTAAGATGCTTACTTATCTGATGGTTGCCAGGCTAGCCCACTTAGCTCCCACAGCTGTCCTGCAACGTAAGTCATTTTATTCATTTCCTTCAATTCTTTCTTTTTCTGAATTACTTTCAGTGATGTGATACTGGAACTTTATTAAAGCATCGTCCATAAACCCCTGGGCTCTGTCCCTTGGACCCTTATCCCTCTCTCGTCTCTATGAAAGCCACATGTCCCATAAATACATGTCATTCCCAGAAAATTTGATATGGTTTTAGGAGGTTCCATAAATAACAACCATGTGATGTCTTATGGCAACTATAAAGTTCGATAAATTCCTAAAGGTTCTGGAAAAGATGCTAAGAAGACTGTTGTGCAGTCCACAAAGAGGAAGAAAAGAGCTTGACGACGAAGTGTGTGGTCAAAACAGAAAGGAAGAGGAATTATGGAGTAATGTGCAGGACATTGGAGGCATAAAGATGGGTCATTGAGTGTTAGCATGGCTACACACAAGGCATGCAAATACACTGAAGAGGTCAGGCAAGGGGCATGTGATGCAGCATGCAGGAGAAGAGAATTTTTCGCTTGTAATTGGACGTATTTCTGTCAAACGGAACTATGTGCATTAAGACATGAGCCACGAGACTCATAAGAATATATGCATAACAGAGCTCACGTCACAATGCACATAGTTCCGTTTGGCAGAAATACGTCCAATTTTCCTAAGTCGATATTCTAAGAGACTGTTAATTTGGCTAGTAAGCCCCATGCATAAGACTTTATTTATTTGTTTTGTCATTGTTTTTTAATCGCAAGGAATCTTGATTGAAATTTTTTTTAAAAAAAAAAATAGTTGCTCAATACTGTACATTTGAGATGCTTCTTTCAGAATCGATCCATAATTGTATGGTCTCTGCAAAAGCAACTTGCTAATGGTTGATCACTGAAATTCCTCTTTCTTTAATATGTTGAAGAACAGAATCACCAGTTGCCAACAGTTAGTGTCGTTTATTTCATTTTCATTAACGATAGAAGATCAATCGTTCTGTCAGCAAGCATGTTAAGTTGTTTCGTTTTTACTTGCTAACTTAACAGGTAGTTGAAACCAATTGTACACTTTGAGGTCAATAAACTAAATAAGTAGGTCTCGAGAGATGCACAAAATTTCAGGTAGTGAAATCTCTCAAAGTTCCCAACAGTAATCATATTTCTTTGAGCCAATGTACTCACAGAGTTTTTTTTATTTCCTGTTTCAGGATTAGATAAAATTGTTGAACCATTGAAGTATACTTGCACATCCAAAGTCAAAGCAAACTCAGTGAAGCAAGAATATGAAAAGCAAGATGAACTAAAAAGATCGGCAATGCGCGCCATTTCAGCTCTCCTTACCATACCAGATGCTGGTGAGTTTTCATCGGTTTTTCACCTTTTCCAGTTTTGATAGCCGACCCGGTCCCCTTTTTTTTCTCTCACCTGTGAATACATGAGTTATCAGAAATTATTAAAACATGTCTTAAAGCCCAATTTGGAAAACAAATGCTATGTATATATCTGTAATCTTTAAATCATTGCAGGTGTTTTGTAAGTCCGTAATATGGTGCCTATAGAAAGATTAATTTGTGATCGCAGTGATCTAATTTAAATACATACATTTCTCTCTTGGAAGAGAGTCGCTTTGGGGAAAAGCAATACTAAATTTAGAGCTTGGTTTTATATTGTTATTTTTCCTTCCAAAGCCACCTCTATAAATTAAATATATTCTATACTACTACTACTACTACTACTACTACTACTACTACCACCACTACCACTTTCTATCTCTATTTATTTATTTATTTCTTTCTATCTTTCTTTCTTGGTGTAAATAGCCTTAGATGCTAAAGCACCGCTTTAAAATAAACTTATATTACTACTACTACTTTCTTTCTCTCTTGCTCTCACTCCTATCATATTTAGTCAGAGAGGGTGAGCCACCTGGCAAAATATCATATGACATACTTTTACTTCCTTTCTATTTTTTTTTTCCAATTTTTTTTTTTGATGTTTTAATTAAAATAAAACTCGTTTTTTATTTTCAGACAAGAATCCAGTTCTGAATGATTTCGTTTCACAAATCAAAAGCACTCCAGAATTACAAGTCATTTTTGAATCGATCCAGAAAGATACAAACCTATTGAATCAAGACTCAACTATTATGATGGACATGAGTTGAATTGGCTCACTGAGCAGGCCTCAGATATTGTGTCAGTCGAAGTAAGTCTAATAAGTACAAGAATCCTTGTCATTCAGTGAACTTTCTTTTGATTTGATTTAATTTAATTATTTTACGTCTGTTAAGCTTTTCAATAACCAAGATCCATTGGCGAAAACATTTGTTGCAAATTTCTAAACTACTCAGAATAGTAGTATGTAGAATAAAATCAAATTGTCATTGACTTTTTTCCAATTATTTATATTTTTGCTTTTTAACTTGCATTGCCACACCAGTCTTCCCTATCAAACCTTCGTTGCTTTTTAACAAGTAAATAAAATAATAAATGGTCTCAATTTTAATCGTAGGTTTGGACAATACTAAGAAGTTTCCAGTAATAGTCAAGGATATACATGTTTTGTTCCATAAAATGATTTTTTAGCTACACCAGGAAAAAAAACTTCCTAATTTTACAACATTTGTACACCTAAGCACAGAAAATTAAGAAATCTAATATACACCTTATGGAATCAAATTATAATTTATGAGAGAAAGTTGGGAATGAAAATTTTGCTCTGGCTTTTTGCAAAATAATAGAACTGACGTATGTAAAGCAAATCATCCTACTTGACATTCATCTGAGTTAGTGAAATTCCTCTGCTAATTTTAACTGTGTGTTCATTGTTTTTCTTCTTACTTTAATGGACCTCTCTCTTTTTTCCAGGTAATTTTTGTCATTGCAGCAAGCTCTGAATTCTGTAAGAATTTGATTTTTCATCATGAGAATATATAATAAGTGTTCTTCCCTGTGAGTTTCATGTCCTGAAGAAGATTTTGCAAGTCTCTCAACCTATTTTTTCATTTTCTTATTTTTGCTTGTTTGTTCAATTATTCATGTCTATTTTAAATTAATTTTCCCCCTTCATTTTTGTAATAATTTTTTGTACATAATCTTTAATGAATATAACTTAATTATGTAGTATTTTCTTTTTTCATTTTTAATAATCCTTTTGTAGGGTCTCAAAACCATGTTGAAAACCTGTGAAATTCAGAGAATGTTTGGGGGTCTAAAAAATTAAGGATTTCTTAAGGATTTTGAACGTCCTCTTGTGTGTGAATAAATTAGACAAGAACGTCAAGATTCCAATTTTGTATTCTTTTCCCCTACTGATATTTCTACTTTCAGGACTTTGGATAATGCATATTGATATTAATCAGGGTGTTAGAAAAGCCCTCCTCCCCGCCTGTAACTTTTCACGTAATTGAGGTAGAGATTTGAAACTTGGAGGACATTCCTAAGTCAAAGGAAGCTACTTTATGACTCCCCTAAAATTCTTAGGCGAGTTCCTCTGGGGGGGGGGAGCAACTTATCATTTTCAAATCGGAAGACTTCTCTAGTAATACCTTGTTCGAAAGAGCATAACAAAAGAAAACTTGTTGCGCAAATCCAAAGTCAATATCTCAAACCATTTCAAAATGGCGGACAATTTGTACCGAGGTGTTAGGTCGATGGATTTGACTGATAAGAATTAGCAGGGGTATTTTAACACAAGAAAAACAAATTTGAGTTAGATTTTTGAAAAAACCAAAATTTTCAAACTGGCGGTGGGTTTAAGTTCAGAATGGTTGAAAACCGGGTTTATTTTTTCAGAAATCTAATGTTAAAGTTTTTAATCTCATGCCAAAATAATCCTAAGTTTCAAGTTTCAGGCGAATCCAAAGGTAAATAACCAAGACGCCAATTTCCGGCCATGTTGAACTTTACTCGGCAGCCATTTTGAAATTTTCGGGTTTTTTTGGTAAAATTCAGTGTCAAATGCGTTTTTTTTGTGCGGAAATACTCCCATACCTACACCGAGTTTCGGACAAATCCATTGCCTTACAACGCAGGTGCCAATTTTGGGCCATGTTTAATTTGAGATGAGATATTGGCCCAATGTAATACACAATAAAAAAAACAAGATGGTGGAAAATTTCTACGTGAAAAGTGGAAAAGTTCTAGACGTGATTTTGGGTGTGATAGAAAGTTTTTAATACCCAACTCCAACTTCTGATTTGAATTGAGATCGAGCTTCTCTCAGCCAATAATACGTGTTCCTCTAGGTCGGGTTTGCTTACATTCTGACTTCGGAACTGATGAACCAATCAGAGAGCGGCACAGACAGACAATACTCTCCCGTACACAGGCACTCTAACGTCTAACAATATTAGACGCTAACACTTTAGACGTAAACCTTTTTAGACTCAAGAGACTAACCTATTAGACAAGACGTTTTTTAGGTCGGCCATTTCGCCATTTCTATTACCGACATTTATTATCAGCTGTAAGTGTATAACGTAGCACAATGGTTTGTTTAATTTAAGATAGCAAGAATCTCCATCTCATTATCTCATTTAATTCTTTTGTGTTCGATTGAAAATTGAAACCCTCAGCGTTTTTCCAGAGCATGAGTCATCCGTGCGCGTGACGATTGCAAGTAACCTTGTGATAAGTTATTCTCAAGTGGCATTTCACCGATTCTGATCTTGCTTTCGGTATTTCTCAAAAGAAATTTGTGTGGCGTCATTGAAACGTACGTACATATTTTAGCATCCAAAGGTATGTTTATGAAAGTTATTACCATTATTATCAATTGTATACATTACAATAGTACGAGGAGCCAATCATCATCCATAATATGCTCTGCCTTCACTTTTTATCATCACACACCTGTTTGCTCATATCTGCTCGAAAAGTATCATACCATTCTTTTACTTTTCACTGTGCGGACATAGTTCATCATTGATTGTTCTTCAGCACCCCTAGTCTTAACTAGCTCTGTCCTCGTGTTTCTAAATTGTAAGAACTGTTTGCTGTAAAAGTGAGGGTATGTCTTATCATAACGCACAGCAAGTACAACCTCAAGTATATTCTAGATCTTGGCAATATGTACTTATTCTGTTGCATCAGGTTACCCAGCAGTTCCGCTTTTTCACTGTATCGTCCCTACTAAATGCATCAGGTGGAGAGGGATCATTCATTAGCTAAAGCTATAATCAGTTTTTGATACATGTCATTCATTGGTGGTGTGGATACTTGATTATCCGAAGGGAGTGTCAGCGACTTTGATGCAGAGTCGCTGTGATTCATCATTTAACAATCAGCCACCCAGATAGAATCGTTACTTCTACTGGAGATTCTTGATCTTAGAGCGCTTGCACCTCACATTACACAGCCTGAGGTAGGATGAAATCAATCTAGGTCATCTTCATTGTTCTTGACAGTACAGTAGCAGCCATAAATCTGAATGTGGACTGTGAAAGTACCCTTATGAGTAATCAGTCTCTGATGATATGGAAGTAGCTCCGTTCATGGATTGTTTCTCATCTCTGTTAGATTTAATTTAGGATCCTAGGTAGTAACTGTCGCATTCTGAACGATATCTACCTTAGGAAGCAAATCCAAACGTACCAGGCATCTACCTTTCAAAGGGGAATTTATGGTGACATAGCACGTTTATAAGTTCTGTGTAAGGCTTTTTTGTGATTTGCATCACAAGCACCTCTGTACGTAATACAGCTTGCAAGAATACATGATGCATGCATATTGTTTGTTCACTTGATTTCAGGCTGAAAATTTATTTTTAGATGTTATAATCACTACTTGCACCATTCGGTATGTCGCAATTAAATCATGCTGCCCTTAAAAGTTCAAAAAAAACAATCCATATTTGCCCTGGGTGGTATCCTAACAGAATCTGATGCAAATCTAAACATTGTGATCCACAAGAAAACCAAAAAATGCATTAAATGTTGGATGAAAACCAAGTTTTAATTAGATGGAAAGCTAGAAAAAAAATTGTTTCAAAGTCTCCTGCTCAATAAAGGCTGAAGGTTCAAAGCAAAAGCCAACCCCAAAAGAAGTGTTAGTTGATTCCTCATAAATTTACCTATTGTTTTTTGACCAGATTATCCTGTGAACACTAACATCCAAATTAGAGAAGTGTTGTTCATTCGGGTAGAGAGAGTGGTTGTTACCTAGTATTTAAATTTCATCGGTAGATGGTTTAATTTAATCTTGTAAATTGTAAAAAATAATTATCAAAAATGGTCCATTGAACATCGTAGACTTTCGTGCTTTATTGATAGACCGATAGATAGACAGATAAATTTATTCTGTAAAAAAAACATGAACATAAACAATTACAACAATTACTGTCTCCACTCTGAGCCCAACTTGTGCTGTGGAGTTGTGAATATTTTTAACATTTTCAAAGCTGAATGAATTTCAACCACTTACTAATTGGTGCCGGAAAATTTTTCAGATGAAAGGACAAGGCGAGCCGTCAGACTCAAACACAGGGCCAGCGGCAGCTCATGTAACTGCCATGCCCTCAGCTCCTCCTCCTTACAGTGAGGTCGTGGGACATGCAGAAGTGCAAGGAAATGCTCCTCCCCCTGGTTTTTCTGTTAATCCTCGTAAGTTATTCTCATTATTTTATATAATATAGTTTTCTTTTTTTCAAATTTCAAAGATTGTTCTGCTCATTTTGATTTAATCAACCAACAGCTTGAGCTCTAATCCAATAGACCACTGGACAAGGTACAAATTTCAGCTTTCTGATACATGTTTCTTCACCAAAATTTTACGTAAAACACGATGCGCACGACAAAAATTACCGAAATCAACTCCTTCCGAAGATATTTAATGATTCTTGGTGCGTGAATTGAAACCAACCGCTCATGAAAACTCAATGTTCTACGTGATTCACATCGCGCGCTTAACGTTATCGTGAAAGTCTCTGCGATAAAAAAATCTGACAACCTCAATCTTGACGCTTTGGTTGAGCTATAGCAAATTACTGATAGTTTGAAAAACACATGGTGGGAGATGAACATCGCTCGATTGAGAAGCTTGCTGAAATCGTCATAGTGCGCGATTTGACTCACGTAGAGCTTTGAGTTTCTTGTGAGCGGGCAGTTCAAATTCCTCGTAACCAGTGTGAAATAAAAATGTTAATATCTCCGTCAGGAGTTGGTTTCAGTAATTTTCGTTGCGCGAATCGTATGCTACGTGAAATTCTGGTTAAGAAATATGTATCAGAATGCTTAAATTCGTACCTTGTCTAGTGGTCCATTAGGAGTGTATCCCTGACTATATCTCTTGTGTTTATTTCAAGTTCAACTTGAAAATTCAAATATCAATATTCCAATCCGTCGAGAAACACAAACGTGACAGTCTTATATTCTAAGTGCCTCAAGGCATTAAAATTAACAGAAGTCGGTACAATCACCTCTCACATCAGAGACCTACTTAAGATGTTGACTTCCTCTGCCCTTGATAACAGAAAACCAAGAAGCTACACTATACCTACGAGGACTCGAAACGTCATGGCAGGTGCCTTCTTGATGGCCATAACCAGTGTTACTTCCATCCTCGAATTTTCAAGACAGGAGTTTTTTTTCTCATTGCACCTGTAAAGAAAATTACTGTTTCGCTGAACATTGCACCGATGGCTATGATGTAATGTCAACACCTTTGTCTTCGAGCCAACAAGTGAAGGAGGGATGTTACTTTCAACTTTTGACAAACTTGAGATTTTTCAGATGCATCATTCGCCTTAGGTGCTGATTTCACCAAAGTCCAGTTCAATCTTCCTTTTTTTTTCTGTAATCTACTGCACATTTCATTGACACCGAGACTTTTCTTATTTCAGCACCTTACTCTAACCAGCCTCAGGCAGGATATCCTGGATACCCTGCGTACCCACAATCTGCGCAACCATTTCCTGGACAACCTGGTTTCGGCAATCCAAACCCCACTTTTATAAGTGTTGTTCAACACCCAAGTGGCGCTTCTCGTAAGTTTATTTTTTTGTTCTTGCCAAATTGTTGGACAGCTCGTTCTCCCACAGAAGTACACCCAACAAATTTGAAAAACCCTGCTGACCCTGCTGCTTTGTGAGAATTTCAGATAAAAGATGTGCCCCTCCAATATGAGGCATTTTTTCATTGAATGTGCATTGTGCAGTGATACATCTTTTTTTTTTTATGTTCAACATATAGGAAGCTAATGCTGTCACAGAAAGGAACCTCTTAAATTCTTTTGCACTTACTCAATGCAATCAATTTTTCTGTTTGTCGTGTTGTAAATGTGCATTTTAATTAACTGCTACACATTAAAATAGTCTGAAATGTTGCTTTATTATTACTCATAAACTTTATACCGGTCAAGAAAGCTCTGCTTAGGGAAATTTATCCAGCAACCTAGGAAGTAAGGATATAAAATTCTTTTACCAACCCTACAAATAGAAAAAATGAAGTAGATGATAAAAACAATCCTCGCATCAACTCCTTCAAAAAAGAACTGAAGAAAACAATGTGGTGACATGGTCAGATCAGGAAAGGAAAAACTGAAACTTAGGCATTGTTTTCTGTCGTGCTTTTGTTTGATATAGACCTCAGATGAAACTCCCTAGAAGGCTAGGGTACCTTATTCAGTTCCATTAAACTATACTTTTATGGTTTTTAGTTGTTTAAACCCTATACAATTTTAAAAGCATAGCAATCCATGAAAGTATTTCAGACTCCCCAAGAAAATATTCACCTTTTTGAAAAATGAAAACAATGCTTTACCTTTTTGTGTTGACTTAATTCTCTCAACCAATTTTCCCATATCAAAGGACAGACCATTCAGTGAATGTGGATCATAGATAAAAATGAGAGAACATTCACTCTTGATATCCAAACTTTTATAAGTAGAACTTTGTTTTTATTCATGATTCTTCTCTTTTAACAGGCACCGAAGTAATCATCACATCATTGGGAGCAGGACCCGCACGAATCAAATGTCCAAGATGCAGTGCAGATGTTATCACCAGTACGACAACAGGGCCAAGTTGGCTCGCTCACTTGTGTTGTCTAGCCATGTTTGTTACCGGGTATGTTCTTTCCGAAAATAGCCCCTACCATCTATTTTAAGTAATGTCGAGTATAACCACTTAAGAGTCCAACTCCCCATTGGATGTTAAAGGAACTCGAGGAAGTAAATGGGTAAGGGAAAGAGCAAGAAGTAGCAAAAAAGAACGCATGAACTCTTACTGAAGCAAAGTCTCAGAGAAAAATAAACTGACGCAAGTAAATGGTTGTAGGAATGATGGCGGGCAGGGAAGTGGGGACAAGCAAATGATGGGAGTATCCAAGTGGGGGTGGAGGAAATTTGTACAAACCAGAGTGGTGAAAATAAGCGCATGATAGGCGAGCAGAGAGAGAAAGATAGGACTTGGCATGAGTACCAAAGGGATGGAGGGTAGAGTGGAAGGGACCGCTTATATGCCACTCTCACAACTTTACATAATAGAGTAAGATGTTTTTAAGATAAATTGTTGTCTTGAACATCAAAACCAAAAAAGAGAAACTATCATAAATGGAAGAATTCGTAATGCAATATGAATAATAGATTCTTTGATGCAGTTTGAAATTTTCACCCTCATATTCTCTTCGAACGCTTTGTTTATCATAATCTCAATTCTACTGCCCATCACTCTGATACTGATAATACTCATCACACTGATAATACCATCACTCCATTCCAGATTTTGCCTTTATCTATTACACATATTACTCTCTTAACAAAAACCAAACCACCATCGTGCATCAATGTCTCAGTCAGAATTTGCAATGATATAACACAGTCTCTCCAAAAATATTGAGGTTGAATTTTTGTTTGTTCTCTTTTAATTTAACGTTTTGTCAGGAAAAATCAAAAGCGTGGATTTTTTTTGGACAGCAGAATTATGAAGTTCCCTTTTTTACTTATTTTTTTCACATGGTAATTTTTAAGTCAGGTGGTTGATCTCCACACAGAAACTGATAAAAATTGTTTTTCTTTTTTCGCAGATTCTGGCTTTGCAGTTGTTTGCCATATTGCATTAGCTCATTTGACTCTACCGTACATCAATGCCCGAACTGCAAAGCTGTTGTTGGATCCTTTCGTGAAGGTTGTTGATAAGCCTGAAAAACTTATGTACTCAATGCTTTTAACTTCTCGTACAGTTAAGGAGAGATTTTATAATTTCTCAACCAAAATATCTATTTTTATTCAAATTACTATATACCTTACCTTTAATTTAGTTTCTATCATCTCAGCTTGTATAAAGTAAGCCGATCGTTTTCAACACTTGTTTTCAAAATTGCAAAAGAGATAGGAAGGATTAGTAATGGAGATTAGTTTTTCTTTTAAAATTTACTTCCAATCGCTGACAGTTATTTTATTTTTTTGAGTGCTCGATTGATTATGTTTTGTGTGCTCTTTTAAAAATGTTGATTCTGTGGAGTTTATTAAATTTAAGAAGGAATTGGAATAATTTTAAAGAGAAATACCAAGCACTGAACTTCTTTTTTGTTCCTGGAAAGTTTTTTTTATCAATAATCTGACCATCACGAAACTCATAAACTTTCGGAAATTGAGCTTCTAACAAATGTAATGTAATACACAATGAATTAGTTCAAGTGAAAAGTCATATTTGTGAAAAAATAAAAACTTGTGCTTATTTTTTAACCAATGAGCCTCAAATGGCCTATTTAAAAGTATACTATTCGCTTGTGACACGTTTATAAGGAAGAAAAGTAGTGAACTCAATACGAAAGGTGAAATTTAATACCAAAATCTATAAATGTTATCAAGCCCCTGATGACTAAAAACTGTATGCTTTGCTACATGATTCAACTGATTCAGTAGCCAAGTCTTTCATTATCCAGCTCCTCACTGTAAGTCAGCACTCTCCACTCCCCAGATAAAATTTAGGTTAAGAACAAACCACGATAACTGCTTCAATGTTTCGAATTTAGGATTGATCCATGTCTTGTACGCATATTTTATAGTATCATTCTCGTATAAATTATCATGGTCAATTTAGTCAATACCTGATTTTGGCAGTCAATGAAAGAAGGATTTTGATACATCATCTATCGATTGATCATTTTTAGCACCAGTACACCTATCGTACTAAACTCTCATTTCTTACTGAATTTGTTTTTAAGATCTTTTACTGCATGGGCATCCTGTGAGGAATAGAGACGAAAGCAACAGTTTGAATATACTTTTCGCATCACAAAATTCTTGTTTAGAGTAACTGTTCCCTCCATTTTGATTTTTGATTTAATACATTTTGTATTTGCGTTTCAAATCACAAAGTCTAACGTCATCATATAGTCAAAGTCATTGTTGGGTATTTATTTTATTGAATAAGTGTTGAAGTTAGAATTTTAGTTTTTATTTCAAATGTTCCACCTCATATTTACCAGAAATGTAGTTAAGAAAATTCTAGCAACTCGGCTAATTTGACTGAGAATTGGCTGGGAAAGCAGAAAAAAGTAATGCGTTCGAAAATCATGTCAGCATAGGTGTAGTTCTCCTTTTGAAGCTGTATAGCATTGTTTCAGATTTTTTGTGCACAGGGCTTTCCTGGTGTGCATCCTTTGTGATCCATGCCGGGAACTATTAAAAGGCACTTTTCATCTACAGATTTGCCGAATATATAGCTCTCAATCTAAATGTTATTCACAATTACAGCTTCAAGGGCTTGAAATGTATTTTATTTTTTATCATTAGCATTACCATTATATTATTCTATTATTATTTTATATTTGAACTCAAACTTCGGTAAGCTGCCATTTTGCAAAAGTGTTGCCAAAGTTAAGCTCAAATTTTAATTTGCTCTAATGAATTTCTGGCCCAAATACTTAAGATGAGTCAAAAAATCAAGAGAAACGGAAAGAGAAAACATCTATAATTAAGTAACTTCTCTATTTTCCTCTTATTTTATCAGAAGTTCATGTGCCAATACATGACAGAACATTGTCTGAAGGAGACGGGACCATACCAAGTTTATGTTCTTTGTGAAATCCACCATTTGTTAATAATTTTTTCCTACAAAAAGGGTTTGCAGCCTCTTCTGCGAGAAAGTGAACAAAATCTAAATTATTTTCAGCTGGTTTTTTTATGTGATGTATTGTTTTGTAATAGTACCGCTTTGTGCCTTTTTAGGTGGCAAGCGTGAATGCAAAAATAAAGTTATTTGCAAGTTTATCGTAGTCTTATTTCTCATCGTTGAATCCCCTCAATAGCATGCTCAAATCTCAAATATCAACAAATATCAAATTGTCTCATCAATTAATGTATTGTGAATGGGTAGAAGAACCCAAACACAAGGGAATTCCTGTCATATCACCGCAAGCAAAATTTCCTGTTCAAAATCATCTTTCAAATATTCCAAATTTAACTTTTCATAAGGAAAGTAACTATAGCTCACTGGCAGAATTTTCAGCAGAGGAAATTTTTTTGCATCAGATGCGGAAAAATTGGATTCTGAAATTTCAACATGAAACTCTCCAGTGTCTGATCGAATAAGTTGCTAGAAGTCAAGTCCTTTCTTGTGCCAACCGGGGGTGTAAGTCTGCATGATAATCCAACAATTTCGAGCTCAGAACTTGGTAGATTAAAATTTTAAATTGCTGTATCTAAAAACTGCCTTTTTTAATTGTACTATTCAAATCACCACAACTCCAGTTTATTCCTTTACAGTTTTGAGCGTTTGTTCTCTCAAAATGTTTGCATATCTTTCCACCATGCTATGGTATTAATGACTTACATTTGGATTCCTGTAGACGGTCACTAATATCATTCGTCGAGGTACTTACTTGTACTATGCATCGACGTTTGGCTAACTGTTAGTCTATAGTCTATTTAGCAATGTCAAATTCTTCTATGGAAGCTTCTTCTTTTTAGCCCTGTCATCCATCACATTTGGATTTGAAGTCATTCAATGATTTTAAATTAAGAACAGGCTGATTGTTGGACTGAGAGGTGAAAAAAGTTTATGATGGAGTGCCTTTTAATCCAAATGAGCTTTCAGTAGTTTTTTAAAGTAAGTACTTAAACAAGTTATCTTCTGTGGAGGATGAGCTCAGTTGGTAATATGTAATCAATTCATGCACGGTGCAAAATGACTCGTAGCCTGATGAATTACAGCTCCAGAAATGTGACGGGGAGGATTAAATTGCATGCACCATCTGAAGGATGAATATTTTTGCTTTTTTAAGCGCAACCCTAAAGACGACAATGCTTAACAATGAAGTAAAAAACCAGCATGCTTGATGGCTTTTGAAATAAATCGAGAGCAAATGAATGTGTAACGAACGAAAGTGAAGCAGAATTAATGTCATATTTATCGAATTCGGTTTCTCAGGTTTCTCATTTTGATGTAGTTTTATTACAGTTTGAAATTGCCGCGTGGGTTGTCACGCATGCGCATCACGTGTAATTTATGAATGTATGGCGGCAAGCCAGATGTAAACAAACAAGTTGGGCCTTGCAAACATGTGCCGTGCAGTTTTCGAAATCGGGAAGACATGTAGACTAACCAAGTACCTAAATTATCACACTCAGAAACTATTTCTAATGTATGGTGTTCGTGATTATAGTAGCACAACTTCAGCGTGATAGATATCAAAACTCCAGCTGGAAATCCAATTAATGGAATGATTTGAAAGCCCTCACTTGTTGATTGGTAAGATACCTACTGACATACTTAAGTACCGAATTTTGATGTAACTATACTTAATTTATGCGGAAGAGTCATCCTTATTCTTTGTCTTGTATACTCATAGAATTAGATTTAAACTCTAAATTATAAAACTTTTCGGAATCTGGAGATTTATCTAGTGCCTACCATGTTTGAGGAATGAACTTTATCTGTGCAAGCCATGTAGGTATTGCGCAACAAGAACCTCCTTTTTCAATGATCCATTACGTATCCACAACCTTGAGTACTTATACCTACTTACTTATAACACCGCAAATTTTTACAATGATGTTATAGTCTTGTAATGAGCTGGTAGGTACTCAAAATTTCGTGATCTTCACGATAAAAATTCAGAGTCATGATGAGATTACCTGTTTTTCACGATCGACCAAGATTTCTTTGTGGAAAGCCTTATATAGGAGATTTTTTTACTCTAAAATTAGGATTCCTTGAATTTTTTTACTCAAGACTGCTCATTTGTAGGTGAACTTCATCCATTTAATGACTTAGGTACATGTTGTTAAGAGGGGTGATGTTCTATACATGGGAGGGTTTTATTAGTGTAGTGGAGCTGGAGAGGAGGGAAGTGTTATTCATAGGAGGGTTTTTATTTTTAAGAAAAATCAGATAAATCAGCCTGTTCAGACTTCATGATAACCGGCATAGTTGCAATGATGGAGCACAGGACAAGACAGCACACTCCACCTGTTAATATCGCAAGGAACCAGACAGTTGCACAATTTTTCCCCTGCGCTCACAAAAGTTGAGAATTGACATCATCTCTGCAATCACAGGCACTTACATTTTGAGATGTAGGCACATACATTGGTGTGTAAAGGATTTTTCATAAGTTGAGGCGTTGAGTGTAGAAAGGACATTTCTAAGTCGCAGTGTTTAAGAATCTCCAGTGCTGATTTTTATCTTAGAAGAGGACATAGTTAGGTGAATTTTCTTAAATTTTACATTCTCAGTACCTACCGTAAAAATCATGAGGAATACATTAGTATAAGTTACCTACAGAAAATTACATGCATAATTGCTTTAATTACAATACATGAAACGTCAGCGGAGATTTTCAGACACTATGCAACCAAGAAATGCCTTTTCTGTACTGCACCTCGCACTTCTTCAATTACGTTTACGAACTTTTTCGGCACTCTGACCCCCCCCTCCCTCTCTCCGACGGGCGACGGGTGTCGCCACTCTGTCTAGCGAGTTCGTCAGCTCGACCCCCCCCCCCCCNGCCGCTAGCCGCTTGAAATCTGTCAAGGCGCCTAAATAGTTGGGTTTAGTCATGGGTTTTGTTCGGAAGAATTCCTCTGACGACAGATGCTTCTTACCTACTCTTCTGCTGACCCATGTTGTCATGTTGGACGGATATGATATCATCAGTATGTATCAGCCTCTGTCCTTCGTGCTGTGTTAGCTATGAACCCAATGTCACAACCAAAATACTGAAACTTTTTGCCTACCTTAATTTAAAAATCTGAATTTTCGTAGGTACATGCACCCATCTTTCAGATTCTTGATCAAGACATTAATAGCCTGAGATGCTGAATGTCTCTAAACACATTAACTAACAAATCATCTTATAATGCATTATGCTTCATCTTTCTCTAACGAGGAATCCAAATCTGAACTCAGATTTTGGATATCGGTGGGGGGGGGGGGGGGTGTCTCAAAATTGGAAAGAGTGCCTCACGTAATTTGTGGACGGCCCCTCACATAGCTGAAAATGTGACTTACGTATGACACACTGGAAAAAAAAGAACACATTGGATCTAGAGTCCAGACTCTAAAAAACATTGACAAGAAAAAATACTCTTGATTCAATCGGATTTTTGCTTAAATCAAAAGAACCAAGCCTCTTAATTTGAGCGGATTTCCGTTTGATTTAAGCAAAAATCTGATTGAATCAAGAGTATATTTTCTTGTCGATGTTTTCAATGTGGTTTTTTTCCAGTGTATTCAAAATCTAAGCTCAGATTCGGATTCCTCGTTGAAAGTCGATGTAATTTGATGTATCATACGCTAGCATAGCGTGATAAAAAGAGGCGTGACGCAGGCATACTGATTCTGATACTAACATATCAGTCCAACCTGGAAACACGGGCAGTCACTGAGTAGGTCAGCTGATGAGTAAGAAGAATATTTTCGCTTCGCGGAAATCCGTCGGAACAAAACCGAACGCTTATTTAGCGCCGGCGCTCGGGCGGCATAGATAAAGGGGTTGAATTCCTTCATGATAAATTCCTCTTCCTCCTCGACCGACCCGCTTATCCATCTTGAATTATTATTGGAATACTTTCCTTCATGCTATTCCAACGTGTGATGTTTGATTTTGCATCGATTTTTCACGAGAAAGCCGAATCTGAGCTTAGATTTTAGGTATCGCGCATTTTGATTTATTTAAAATTGTTGGAGAAATTACTGGGGCGTTCTTCAACTTTGATCACGCCTTTTTTTCTTATTTTTCTTTTTTTCTTTTTTCTCCTGGTCACCACTTATCTCAAAGGAATGATCACCGATGAAAGTCTTGTTTCCTGTTTCTACTAATCTAAAAATCTCGCTCATGAAATATAATTAAAGTAATAATTAAATAAAATAAGAACCGCCGTAGTATCGGACGCATCGATCCACAGGGTCATCCCTAAATCACGTAACGTTATATTTCCGGAGTTTTTAGCATCCCCCCCCCAAAAAAAAACGCAGCGCTAACCCTCATTTCACCCTCCAAAGAGACAATATTCTTTAGATATCCCTATCTTTCCCCTTGTCACTTAACTGCAGACCCCCC